AAATCTAGGTGCAAACCAAGGGGTCGGTTTTGAGACGGCCAAAGACCTTCTTCTCTCAAGTCATGACTACCACATCCTTTTAGGCTCTCGCGATCCAGCTAAAGGCGAAGAAGCCGCTCAAGCTCTCCGCACCTTCCCCGAAATCAAGGGAACCGTGTCCGCCATTCAGATCGATGTGACGGACGACAGATCCGTTGATGAGGCCGCCGCGTACGTTCAAAAGGAGTACGGCCGACTGGATATCCTGATCAATAACGCTGGTATCGCGATCCTGGATGAACCACCGTCCCGCGATGCCTACCGGAAGGTCTTGGACGTGAATCTAGTCGGAGCGCTGAGCACCACGGAGGCCTTTCTGGATCTGCTGCGACGGTCGTCCGAGAAGCGACTCATCTTTGTCAGTTCAAGCACGGGGTCAATCACCCATGCTGCTGATCCCGAGTCACCATACTATAACCCGCGAGGAATTGAATATCGCTCGAGCAAGGCTGCATTGAATATGATGATGGTCTTGTACTGGGCACGGCTGAAGGCTGAGGGATTCAAAGTGTTTGGAGCCGACCCAGGATTGTGTGCCACGAATTTGACCGGCGATCCCGAGTCTTTACGGAAGAGAAATGCTGCGGAGCCATCAGACGGAGGTCAGAGAGTGGCCCTGGTGGTCAAGGGAGAGAGAGATGCTAATGTAGGGAAGGTGCTGGGGGCTTACGGAGTCTCGCCTTTCTGAGTGGGGGAGGATGAAGAGGTAGTGCGGTGCGTATCGAGTCTGTATATACCTATTGTTATCTGGCCGTCAGGCTTTGCCGAATTTCGCAGGCAAGTGTCCACTAAGGTAGTATTCCTTGGAAATTGATTTGAGGCTTTCATCCAAATGATGGTTCGTCTCGTAGAGTACACAGAGCCGCATCCTTCTGTTCTAAGGGCGTGAGTCATCCTCTAGAGCGTTGTGCTACAATGGTAACAAGGGTGGCCCCCATATCTGAGACAAGCTTAAGACCCACCCTTTAAGGAACCTGATGATTGCGCCGACAGACCGCGGATGAAATGCTGTGGTTCAAGAACCAGGCATCGATTGCCAATAGACGCAAAACAGTAATGTGCAGAAAAGGGAAAGAGGCATGAGGCATGAGGCATGAGGCATGAGGCATGAGGCATGAGGCATGAGGCACTTCCAGTATCACCGCTCGACCGGTAGCTGCTGAGGCTGAAATCCATTTAAATGGCGAATAACTAAAGATATCGGAGATTGCCACTGCATGTCAGAGCAATGCTAAGATAGCGTCCCCATAAGGACGCAAGCATGTCTTAGACATGTAGAAATCATTGGTGCCCACGTTATGACCAACGCATTGCCGGCTGGCTTCCGTGCATCCATCCGCGTCCGCAGCCATACATGTCTGACAGACAATGAGCACTGTTTCCTGTGAGTCGAGCGTGACACAGATTGTGTTCAAAGAACGGAACTCGTCTCGTCGACCGACCTAGCTGTTTGCGACGTCCGAACTGATTCAGATGAACCTTCAGTATAACTATGACTTGTTAGTCCGCTGAGCTGTTCTTGGGAGTAATCCATGTTCGAGTCGATGTCTGTTGCTCACAGCCTCATTCATGAGTACTGGATTCATTCCTTCATGGATGAGTGTGATTGGTGGTGGCTTTGTAGTCATTCAAACTGGGTGGCACAAAGGTGACAATGTCCCGTATCTCTGTTTTGCATATGAGCTGACTCGCTCTAGAGGAATGCTTTGAGTCATTGATGATTGTATCCTTGGATAGGGCGTGAGTGCGTGTGTGGGTGAGTGAGCCGATGGTGATGACAGATTCACAGGCCGGACGGGATCACATGTATATTACTCTTTTAGGCAGGCGTGCCTTGATGAGTCAATCTGCCCGATTGGAACTAGCGCAGAGCGGGGTGGTCGGCGGTGAGAGAGTTTGGAGCGCATAATCCAGCGAGGTGCTAAAATCTTCTAGCAATTATATTATGCCACCATCACGAATACCCCTCGTCGTCAATCCGCAGTTCTTCTTACGGCGTTTCAGTCGGTCGTTCAGGATGGAAAGTCGCCAACAACCCCCGTGGCAGCAGCCGCCCGCGCGCCCTGACGCCCGCCTCCCTTCTCTCAAAGTATGGAACTCTTTGACCAGATCCAAGACTCCTTTTGTGCCCTTGGATCCCGAAGGACGCAAGGTCAAGTGGTATGCTTGCGGCCCAACTGTTTACGACGATGCGCACCTCGGCCACGCTCGAAACTATGTCAGCACCGATATTCTACGACGTATCCTCAAGGACTACTTCCACTATGATGTGCAATTTGTTATGAATATCACCGATGTCGACGACAAGGTATGAGCCACCGTGTTAGGAAGGATGCTTGAAGGATGGGCGTGACTGATGGCCACAGATCATCCTTCGCGGTAGACAACAGCATTTGTTCAACAAGTACATCACGGAACATCCGAATATCACCCCCGAAGTCCTCGAGACTGCCCGATCGGCATACAGCGCCTACATCAAGAAGAACCTCCCTCTGATCAATTCCGAGACAAAGCCTGAAGATTTTACCGCGGAGGTCGACAATGTTTATGGAGTGGTTCTCAAGGGCGGCTCGTTGGAGGCAGATAAGAAGCCAGGCGATGCGGAGACCAAGATCAAAATGCACGTTAAGACTGCGACGGCATCATCTTCAGCCATCGCCGGTGCCGCAAAGAAGCCCGAGACCTCGAGCCAGGCTTTCTATGATGCCACACAGGATGTATTCTGCTACTACCTTGATGTCACTCAAGGATCCACGATTCCCGGCGATGCGTACGAAATCTTCACGAAGCTCACGAAGAAATACGAAGACCACTTTATGCGCGATATGAGAGATCTGAACGTTCTTGATCCCGATGAGATCACGAGAGTCACCGAGTATGGCCCACAGATTGCGGACTTTGTCGAGAAGATTGTTGCGAATAAGTTTGGGTATGTGGCTTCGGACGGGTCTGTTTACTTCGACATCAAAGCGTTCGAAGAAGCCGGCAACCACTATGCCCGACTGGAGCCGTGGAACCGAAACAATCAACCTCTGCAGAGAGACGGCGAGGGTGCCCTGTCTCGGGCAACCGAGAAGAAGTCGCCCGACGATTTCGCTCTCTGGAAATCGTCTCGACCTGGCGAGCCTAGTTGGTCCAGCAAGTGGGGTCAAGGAAGACCCGGGTGGCACATTGAGTGCTCTGCTATGGCATCGAGCTGCTTGGGAAGCCAGATTGATATCCACTCGGGTGGTATTGACCTTGCTTTCCCCCACCACGATAACGAGCTTGCGCAGAGTGAAGCCTATTGGCACGAGCACAAGCATCAGTGGGTCAACTACTTCCTGCACATGGGCCACCTTTCCATTGCAGGCTCTAAGATGTCCAAGTCCTTGAAGAACTTCACCACTATCAGTGACGCGCTCAAGCGAGGTGATTACACTGCTCGCAGTCTGAGAATCGTTTTCCTGCTGGGTGGCTGGCGCGACGGAGTCGAGATTACAGATGAGCTGGTCAAGAGCGCCTCTTCATGGGAAGAGAAGGTCAACAACTTCTTTGTTAAAGTCAAGGATCCTTCCACATACCAGACTTCCGCCACCGATGCGGCAGCGACCGAAACATTGACACAGGCCCTCAAGTCCACCCAAGACAAGGTCGATGAACACTTTTGCGATTCCTTTGATACCCCCAGAGTCATGGCTGCTATTTCTGAACTGATTACCACTTTCAATTCGCTTGACATTGAGACTCTGGAGCCCCAGGCCATCGAATCCACTGCCAAGTGGGTGACACGGATTGTGACCATTTTCGGTTTGAACGGGGCTACCCCGGTGGACAAGTGTGACATCGGCTGGGAGGGTACCGACGTCCCTGAGGTTGCGAAGCAGTACTTGTACCCGCTTTCCGCCATGCGTGACTCTTTGCGCCAGGCTGCCATGTCCGGCAACCAGATCACATTAGACAAGGTCAAGGAGATCATCGGTGCTGCAGCAGTAAAAAATGCAGACACGACCGAAGCCGCCAAGCCATACTCCCAGGCCCTGGAGTCTTTCAGCTCCCAGCTCGCATCGTTGAGCTTTGAGGATTCGAAGAGCTCTTCGAAGGAGATTCTTTCCCTCTGTGACCGTTTGCGTGATGTGGACCTTTTCAATCTCGGTATTTACCTTGAGGACCGTGAGAACAAGCCAGCTCTCGTCCGCCCTGTCACCAAGGATCTGCTGCAGGCCCGTGAAGAGCAGGCACGCAAGGCTTTGCAGAAGCAGCAAGAAAAGGAGAAGAAGGAACGCCTTGCTCAGGAAAAGCTTGAGAAGGGAAAGCTCAGTCACCTCGAGATGTTCAAGACTAGCGAGTTCAGCGCTTGGGATGAAGAGGGTATGCCGACCAAGGATGCTGCTGGCGAACCTCTCGCAAAGAGCCGGGGCAAGAAGTTGAGGAAAGACTGGGAGCGTCAGAAGAAGGCCCACGAAGCGTGGCTTGCAAGCCAGCAGGGCAAATGATAGAGTAGCACATAGGTCAAGAAATTTTGATGCAGTTTTTCAGCGGGACTGAATTTTTGATTTTCATACATCTCCCACAGTGAATTAGATATTAACCATCCTTGGGGTGTGAAGTGATCGAAATTACCTTGAGGCGGCTCCACGTAACGTCTTTATTCACTAAGCTGTGTGTACCACACTCCCATATTGAGAAGGTAGGTCTCCCCTAGATTGTCAACCTTGATATGATTCTTCTCTTCTCCACGTCACTGTCTAACATCCTAACAACAGCTTATCGAAGTCACACCTAGCGGCTCCTAAAAGCAAGCCTGAGAACACCTGAAAGGTCTTTGATGCACGTTGCTTCTCATCTCTTTCATCACTGCTATCAATATTACCTCTACAACCATCTCACTGACAAAGGTAGTAATCAGAGCGAATTCCTATCAGTGGGCATGAAAGGAGAGCAGAGCCTTCAAAGACCTCATCATGCGGCTTCCCAAGATCATGTTGCCTTTTGTGGCCAAGGGTAAGCCAGTCCGCTTGAAGAAGATATACGTGGTGGCTCATGACTCTCTATTAGTTGCCCGAAACCAAGATCTTGGAGTTCGAAATGCGTCTGAACATAAACAGAGGCATCAGCTTGACGAGTTTCCCACGGAACTGATGGATTTAATTGCTTCGTTCCTGGATAAACCCGCTTTGTGCGCGTTGCGCTTGACATGCTCGACCCTCGAACGCGCAGCCAAATACCAATTCGGACGGATCGGTCTTCACACACTACACACAGATCTATCAAAGTTAAGTCTGCTCGCCATGGATGAACTCGCCAATACCTGTCGCTTGAACCAGCATGTCAAGAAGATATCCATCGGCAGCGCTACTGGGGACGTTTTAGGCTACGGCTTCATTTGGTATCGTGACATCTTGGAGAATGAGTACCTCAACTTCCTCCGTTCTTCGGACGGATTCCTGAAATTGAGGGCTGTCTTGAAGAAGTTCCCGGATTGCCAATCGTTCCACATCTCGTTGTCCAATCAGCCCGATTCGGGTCCCTGGACCGACTGTCTCAGCCCCAGTGATGCAGTGACGCTCGTGCTGCATCTCATCCCGTGCATGGCAAGACCCGTCGAGTCTTTCAGCTGCTCCTACTCGGACTGGGACAAACACACGGCAGGGATCATCGACCCCAGAAGGTTCTGCCCCCACACCTTTCAGGTTGCCCGCTTCAGCCTATGCTGGTCCACCCTCACCGAGTTATGCTTACTTGCGCAGGTGAAAGACGTTCTTGTGGCTGACTTTGTGCACGAGCTCATCGACCAGGCGCCCAATCTGAAGAAGCTGGAATTGGGCTGTGGTGGAGGCGAAGGAGTCGCAGCCTTGTTCCAACTACTGGGACAAGAGGGTAGTAACATGGAGCTGGAGGTGCTCAAACTGTCGGGCGTGGTGGTCATCTCGGGCCAGGACCTGCAGAACTTTCTTCTCGCCACCAGGAACTCTCTGCGCATTCTGGAGTTGAGGGTTGTTCGCTTTGAGACTGGGCTCTGGGAGACGGCCCTGGAGAGTTTGATGCACGAGTTTCCGGCCTTGAAGGAGCTGATTTTGCTTTGGATTACCGATAGCACGACCGGCGTACGTAATGCCATTCTCCGCGTCTATTCTCATTGAAAGAAGAACATTTGACTAACTGCATACAGAGATATCCGACCCATTGGGTCCGCGATGACATCAAGGACGTACGAGGCCGCCATGGCCGTATTCGTCTTGCCTACTCGGGTCTCCCTGTGCATAATGCTCTCTACTCTCTTCTGACACGCTATCAGATCCAGCCTCCGCAGCAGCTGTCAGCTCAAGCGGCTCAGTGATTGCTGCTATAGTCCTAGAGTGACTCGTGACCGAGAGAGGTTTTATTTGTCAACAAGAGACCTGAATTAGAGACACTGGTAGCTTGAGGTCACAGCTGCTCGAGGGAAGGTGGATTGTCTTGCACGATATTCATCATGATGATTCAAATCGGATTGTATCTCTTTCCTTGGGGCTACCAGACTGTAGTTGATGTAGGATGCTTTTTTTATTTTCTGTTAGAGCTAAGAGAAGTAGTGATTACGTGTGTGTCTAAGTTATCTCTCTGTGCATCTGCTGTGTGTCCCGCGTTCTTACCCAATTGAGACTTTCCCCCGCGTTTTGTTATCAGACCGCACTTCTTCCTTTCTGCCTACTCGAAGTGACATGTCGACAATTCGTTTCCTCTTTCATGTCACCACAGTGATGGTTAGCACGGTGTATAACTTTGACTCTCATGTATTTCCCCGAGTACTTTCAGACTATCTTGAAAATTCTCATTATGCAATGCTCAAAACCGCCAATCAGCCCATCGCCGCCACCCCTATCTCTTAGCATAGGGCTAGCACGGCTGTTATCTGCACCAGATAGACTACACCCATGCCTATCGGTCGGTTACACCCTGGGCCAGACACTAGTCGACTAGAAAGTGTCAGCAGATGTGGCGATAAGAAGCAGACTAAGGCGACTATGGTTGAAGTCTCTTAAAGACCGCCCAATCTTGTTTGTGGCCCTGCCATGACTGCTTCTCTCCCTCGTCTTCCCTTCCCCATCACCAAGTGCTGGTCACAGCCGTTCGTCCCCCAAGATGGCATCCGAGGACCTGATTGAGATTGAGAAATCCTCCAAGTCACCTTACAGCACCGCCGACCTTGAGGTAGAGCAAGGGCGCCTTGATGAATTGCATGCAAAGGAGGATGACTTGGTAGACAAGGAAGTCTACGACTATGAGTCGGAACACTCACCTTTCCCCGAGGGTTCGTGATGAATGGCCACGACATCAGATGTCAAGTTAGGTGATATCTAACATGAGTTTCAAACAGTGCGCGCTGTTGTACCTGAGACAGACGACCCAAGTATGCCCGTCAGCACATTCCGAATGTGGCTCCTTGGCTTCATCTTCACAATGGTGGGCTCTGGCATCAACCAATTTTTCTCGCTACGTTATCCGTCGGTACATATCGTATCCTTGGTGGCAGAGCTGCTGGCGTATCCCTGTGGTGTCTTCCTGGCGAAAGTCTTGCCTATGTGGACTATAAGTCTGGGACCCTTGGGCAGCTTCTCTCTCAATCCAGACCGCCAGTTCAACATCAAGGAGCATGCACTGATCGTGATCATGAGCAATGTCTCGTTCGGCTATGGGAGTGCGGACTCTACAAACATTATTCAGGCTTCTAGCTCCCAGTTCTACAATTTTGGTCTGTCAGCTGGCTTCTCGGTCCTGGTCGTCCTCTGCGCACAGCTCCTGGGATTCGGGGTGGCTGGGCTCGCCGCTCCATGGCTAGTTGAGCCAGCGAGGATCGTGTGGCCACAAGTTCTATCGAATTGCGCGATGCTCGAAACGCTTCATTCGCGTGCAAACAGCGTCGCCAATGGCTGGAAGATCTCCCGTCTCCGGTTCTTCCTGTATGTCACCGCAGCTGGCTTCGTATGGTATTTCTTCCCAGGACTCATGTTCACTGCTCTCTCATACTTCACCTGGGTGTGCTGGATCGCACCGCGCAACAAGATTGTGAACCAGCTGTTCGGCATGCAAACTGGCCTGGGACTGAGCCCTATCACCTTCGACTGGAGCCAGGTCGCGTATAACACCAACCCTCTGCTTTCGCCAGCCTGGGCAGCAATCAATGTGTTTGCTGGATTTGCGGTCTTCTTTTGGATTGTTGTGCCGGGCATCTACTACTCTAACACTTGGTATACAGCTTACCTTCCTCTCATGACAGCCGACGTCTACGACAGAACGGGTGCCGAATATAACACCACTCGCGTTATCAGCTCGCAAAACACCCTAGATGTTGACGCATACAAGAACTATTCTCCTCCATATCTCCCAGCCACGTATGCCTTTGTCTACGGACTGTCATTTGCATCCATCACCGCAGTCCTGACTCACATCGGAGTCTGGCATAGCAAGGAGATCTGGGCTGCCCTCAAAGGAAAGAACAAGCTGGACATCCACGCTCGCCTGATGAAGAATTACAAGAACACCCCTTGGTACTGGTATGCAGCCATCATCGCGGTGATCACTGCTATCTCGATAGTCGTGGTTGAAGTCTACCATACCAAGCTCCCCGTATATGGCGTGTTTCTTGCTCTGATCGTCCCAGCAATCTACATGATTCCCTGCGGCATCATACAGGGCATCACGAACGTGGACGCCAATCAGTTGAATGTCCTGGCCGAGTTTGTTGGCGGCTACATGTTCGAGGGCAAGCCCCTTGCCAACATGCTGTTCAAGATCCTGAGCACCGACGTGGTAGGTCAAGGCGTCTACTTCGCCATGGACATGAAACTGGGCCACTATCTGAAAATCCCGCCGCGAACTCTCTTCATGGCCCAAGGGCTGGCCACCATCCTTGGGGCCTTGACACAAGCAGGCGTCACCATCTGGATGCTCGGCAACATCAAGGATATCTGTTCCTCCGACCAAGCGGACGGATTCACCTGCCCCAACGGCCGCACCGTCTACTCTTCCTCGGTGATCTGGGGTCTCGTCGGCCCGCGTCGTCTCTACTCCGTCGGCAAGATCTATTCGTCGTTGCTGCATTTCTTCTGGATCGGAGCAATCGCCCCGCTGGTAACATACGTTTTGTATAAATACACCCGCAACCGCTTCTGGAAGCTGGTCAACTGGCCCCTCATTTTCGTGGGCACCTACAACGTCCCACCAGGTTAGTGTCCCCCCTTCCTCCCCAATCCCCCAAGCCCCACGTTGTCCACTGAGCACCTCCCCTCCTTTCCCCACAGCCTCTCCTTTCTTCTCTTATACTGACCCATCCTTGTCCCACCCCCACAGCGACCGGAATCAACTACTCCAGCTGGGCCCTCGTCAACTTCATCTTCAACCACCTCATCAAACGCCGCTTCTTCGCCTGGTGGACCAAGTACAACTACATCCTCGCCGCGGCGCTGGACACCGGCCTCGCCCTCAGCGGCATCGTCATCTTCTTCTGCATCTCCTACCCGGGCGCCGTCTTCCCCGACTGGTGGGGCAATACTGTCTACCTCAACACGGCCGACGGGGACGGGGTCCCGTGGAAGGAGATGCCGGCCGCTGGGTATTTCGGGCCCGCGAATGGGACTTGGAGCTGAGATTTGCCGCGGATGCTTGTACAAGACGTGGGTGGGGGTCGTGAGATGATTAGCCTGTGTATAGTACAGGTTACGTGGGTTTCTCTGTGTTCAAGTACATAATATATATATATCTATTGATCTTGGTAGTTCCGTGGACCTTGTTCCATTCGTTAAGGTTTATTTCTGATGAGGACCTTCGCAGTGAAACTTCGCGATACAAGACAGGTACTATTGTACAGTACAGGGATGCTGAAGATACCAAGGAAACTGCCCGCACGACGATTCTAGAGCGTGAGAGTGAGAACTTGCGAGGAGATGCATTGTGACCACAAGTTTCTTTATTAGATACAGATAACAGACCCCGATCTTCCCACCACCGAAAATCCCTAAACGTAGTGAAAAAAAAGTGAAAATAAAAACAAGGACAAAGATGAGAGGGAAGTGGAGGCGAGTGGAGGCAAAAAAAAGCAAACCGCGAGCAACATAGTCCGAAAGGCAGAAGGAGAAACAAAAGAGGAAAGGGATAAAAGTGTTAAGGGGAATTCAACTCGAATCCAACCGGCAGACCCCGAGTGCGCAAAGAGTGTGGCCAGGTGGCGAAGGCATTGGACGACAACTTCACATTGTGTTCACGGATGAAGGTGTATCGTGGATCATTTACTAGAAGACGTTGTGATTAGTCGATGGTTGTGCAGGAGCCGAGGAAAAAAGGAACTTACAGAGATCTCAGCCATGCCAAGGTCCTCACCAACGGCGGCAGCCTGTTGCTGCTGAGGGGCTCCGTTCGTCTGAGCGCTACCCTCAGCAGGGCCGGTGTTATCGGTGGTAGCGAAGTAGTCAACCATCTCGGCATCAAGCTCCTCGACAGTCTTAGGCTTGGGGCGGTTGGGAGTGCGGCCGTTCTTACGCGCACCACGGCGACCACGTCCCTGGGCGTTAGTAGCGGCCTTGTTGGCAGTAGCAGGCTTGGGCTTGGGCTTGGTTTGACTGCACACATTGATACTTAGTCACCATAAAAAACGACCAGAAAGAATGGCTACTTACGCGACACGCTCACCAAGGGACTTGGGAGCAGCGACATCGGGCGCGTGGGAGGCATCAACGACAACCTCGATCTGATATGTGTCAGTGCCTAGAGCTTGAGCTGGAAGATAACGGTGAGCGACAACAAGACTGACCTTCATGGGTCTCCCATCGACTAGAAGGCCATTCAAATCCTTGGCAGCCTTCGCAGCTGTATCGGGCTTGCTGAAGACGATGGATGCGATTCCGCGGCTAGTACCATTCTGGTTGTAGGTGAGCATAACTCGCTTCACGGGACCTGCAGACTTTGTGAAGTATTCCTATAGCACCAGGAAATCAGATTAGTATATCGAATCAAGAAGTTCATTTGCAGAACCACGAAAGCATCGGCATGAACACAGTTCGAAAGACGCATAATAACGGCCTCAGAAGCGACATCGACATCAAGAAGCATCAGCGAGCACATAGCGGCAGTTAGTTGTCAGCATGGATAGGTCTTCCGCATCTCTACCCGAGTACGGCGCTGTAAGCAGCCGTTCGCTCGTCCACCGTAGAATCTCCAAACAACATCGTAACCCTGGCCAGCATGCCCTTCCACTCAGTTTAACCTCACAGAATATAATGTCATCAGATGCCTAATAGAGGTTCCTCAAAAGGTTGATAGGATAATCCATCCAGCATGCATGTCCCACATTTACCCCCACCCGATTTGCGAGATCCCAGAAAGGCGGCAAACGTGTACTCAGGATCCCCCAGATGCCCTCCGGAATACCCCAGTCCAAGAAATGCAAGCCATAAATACTCGCACAATGTCCAAAGAAGAATGTATCGTGCCCCAGCTAAACACGATAGCATCGCTCGATAAACATGTGGTATGATATGACGCTCGACCACAACCCGCTCTTGAAGCGATGTGTTGGATGTTCTGCTGGCATGCCAATGCGCTCGCTGATGCCTGAGAATCCTAACTGGAGGTTTCACTCGAGCTTGACCAAGCGAGGAAAGAAAATCAAGGCATGCTTCGAAGGATAATCTATAGCACTGTCTGCGGCTTCGACAATCCAGGCGGGACACTGAGAGCTACGCTCTGGATTGGATGCGCCATTTGCAAGACTAGGGCAGAGCTCGACTTTGATAGGCTCTCGAAGCGCGAAGGAAGTTATCTGCGCCAAAAGCGTCAAAGGAGACTGCTGCCCGTGCTAATATCCACAGTCCACGACGATGATATATGCATGACGGTGGCAAGGATCGAAACGCGAGAGAAGCCGTTGCGCATCGAAGGTTTCGGAAAAGAAACATGGCGATAGAAACCCAAGGCAAAGGCCTTTCGATCAACATACCTTGATATTGGCCTCGTTCACATCGGCAGGCTGGAGGGGAACGTTAGCTTTCCGCTTCCTGCAAGAGATTTTGAATCTAACATACCAAGCCGCTGACCATGATTTTACTTTCACGCGAGACAGGGTGTCCATTTTGAGCAACCTTGCCGGTAGGCTTAGCAGTCTTGGTGGTCTTCTTGACTCCACCGACTGGAACAGAAGCGGCGGCGGCCTTAGGGGCCGAACGGCGGTCGCGACGGCGAGCACCCTGGCGGCGGCTGACGAGAATCTCGTCGAGAGACTTGTCCAGCTTGCCAGACATGATTGTAGCTGATGAAGTATTTGTCGAACAAAAGATGAGAGATCGATGGATAGCTTTCGCAAGTCGCGGATGTTACGCCACTTGAGTTTCGCGACTTTGAGGAAGCGAAGGCGATTGTTCTGAGTGAAGTTTGTCCAGAAGCTGGAAGACGAGCTGGAACAGTATAAATTGGCGGTGAGAATTGACTGTAGATGAGTTTACACCACGCAGAAGTGGACGCGATGATGCGGGTTGATGAAGAGGATAGAAGTGATGGATGAAGAAAGGGAAACACAGGCGGATGAATGGAGAAGATAAGCAAGGGCGGAGGGGAGGAGGCTGAGTCACCCTAGTCCCGATCAGGTCTTTCGAGCTACCCGCATTGGGGATTGTTGCGACATTTCCACCACAGCCTGTTCAGTTCCAGCTTCCCACCCGTCGACACTCATTCAAGGTAGAATTAAGGCTTCGTTGGAATGTAATTATCTACAGTATTCTGAGGCTGAAGGATTTCATTCACTATCTATCAGTCAACAGATAGACTCAATACCACGGATGAAAAAGCACTCGAATTATGTTCAGACTCTGATTATGCCAAACCTACTCACTGCTGCCCAAACACCAGGATGAAAGAAGCAACGGCCCAATGCTAATGCAAATGGATAATCTCATAACATTTGTATACAACACACATGGTCACTCAATCGAATCATAGTGTTGCGCGGTATAGTAAGACAACGCAATGTAGTCGAAACTCCAGAAGCCGCGGCCTGCCCAATATCACAATGAACAAAGCAGAAATCAAGAAATGAACGCCTGGGCGCCCTGTCCAATCGAACGCCATCTAAGACCAATTGAAGGTATGTAAAGAAGAGAAAGAACGAGAAAGAACGAGCAGGCGCATGCATTAAGCCATCGTAACCCATGATGAGTAATTTCGCATTGTCTCTTCAGCTCTTCAGGGCTTCCAGTCTTCCTCTCATTTGTGCAAGGGTCGCCTCTTGGTCCTCGAGCTCGTCCTCGGGCTCCGGAGCTTCTTCCAAAGGCTGTTCGGGCCTCACACCCTCCACCTGGGACAGTTTGCCCTGGAGAATCTCCTGCAAGACTTTGTCCACTTCCTCCTCCGCTTCGTCCTCCTCGTCTTCGAGCAATTCATTATTTGGGATCGCATCATCCACCATTTCCTCAATAATCCCCGCGCGTACCAGTTCGGTTGACAATTGTTGCATTGTGGCCGTCAGTTCAGGCATACGGACGAGAGTATTGACATCCTTCATGATTCCCGTCGACTTCTTCAGACTCCCTTGAATCTTGCGCACTGAAAATGCCTCATTGACCTGCATGTGGACGCTCTGCAGCTGAGCCCGGCTAGTGTGTAGCCGGGTTGACTGCTTTCGAATCCGAACAAGTTCTCGCGCAAAGGTCTTGGCTTCCATATTGGCCTGCTTCGCCTGGGAGGGGTTGCGTTGGGCTCGTCGAGATGCACTTACGATGTGCTGTCGTGTTTTGCTTTCCAGGGTCTTGAGTTGGGAGATGTCACGGTCTAATTGACGGGTATTCGCACGGATGAGCTGGTTGCATTTCCTCATCTATAATTGAAAACATGGGTCAGGTTGGATAGCCAGTTTGGACGCCTGCATGTGACAATACCTGTGCTTGAGGATCGGGGCCGAAGAAGACAGCCTTGAGGGTCTCCATCTTGAATATGCTCAGGGTTACCGCAACTGAGTGAGCCTCGTGGAGATGTACTGCAGGTGTATGTTGATGGCGGAGGCTTCTGGGTCGAGTAAGAGTGGAACAGGCGTTTTATCAGGAGGCACTCGAAGGCTTATCCGGAGACCTTGGCAGCAGGGCGGGGTATAGGAGGGAGATCTTTGCGAGTCTCCCCGAGTCAGGCTGCAGGAAAGAAAGACAAAAATTAATTCATAGAGAGGGTCACCGCCAAAAGCCACAACAGAATCCTACAAAGTTATTTTTGTCGGGTCGAATATTGTTGTCGTTCGCATCGCTATTGGGGTGCCTGGCACTGCCTCAGTCAAGGCCGGGCTTGCTGAGGAGACAGGCGAGATTCGGCTGAGTCATCCCCAAATGCGGTGACGTCGCCGAGATAGATGCATTGTATGCCTCAGGCCATAAAAGGTTCGTCCCTAGGAGCCCCGGAAAAGGTTGCAAACCCAACAAACTCCCTGCGGGCGGGAGAGTTCCAGTACTTTCTAGCACCATATTGAGCCGATCGTCAGCTTAGAGGCAAGCGGGCTGGATTTCACCTGCTGCTCTGCTCTGCTCTGCTACCTAGACGAATCCACCTTTCCCTTACTCACTCTTCTCGACTTTCCCAATCCGATCCATCTTTCTCTACATTTCAATCTTGCATATCTCTTATCTCCCCATTTTTCATAATGTCTCTTCCTCAGGTTCACCCCGAAGGTGTGTGTTTCTTGTGCTCCGTCCCTCATTCCTACCTTCCCCGCTCTTGGTTTTCGTGACTCGCACGGTGGCCGGTTGTCGTAAATCGCCCCAGCTTAAGCTTGACTCGAGATCAACCCAACACACTTCAATTTCCTCGCTAGCTCTCTATCTCGCAGTAATGATATACTGACTATCTCTTTCCAGTTACATGGGCTCAGCGCTCCTCGACCACTGAGGCCGAGCGCAACTACCTTTACGTGAGCATCAAGGCTTCGGATGTCGCTCGCGACGCCGCTAGCCTTAGCATCACCCCCACCAATGTCACTTTCTCCGGAGAGTCTAAGAAGGGCGTAAAATACCAAGTCTCTCTCGACCTTTACGCCGAGATCGACCCTGATAACTCGAAGGTGAACCACAGTGACCGTGAGGTCGAGTTGGTGTTGCGCAAGAAGGAGCTCAAGGAGGAATACTGGCCCCGTCTGCTGAAGACGACCCAGAAGGTTCACTTTCTCAAGACTGACTTTGATAAGGTACTGTGATACTATTTGTACTTCACTGATGGGGAAACTGTCAAGGCTGACTTGGAGCTAGTGGGTCGACGAGGACGAGCAGGATGAGGCCCCCGAAGACGACTATGCTAGCGGCTTCAATGGTATGGATGGAGGCATGGACGGTGGCCTTGGCAACATTGATTTCTCCAAGCTTGGTGGCCTTTCCGGTCTCGGCGGCGCTGAGGCTGATGCAGGCGAGGGCGAAGATGAGGTATGCTGAACATCACCCTTCTCGACCTTCTATGTAGCTGCTAACACACCCACTAGGATGAGGAGATGCCCGAACTCGAGGAGGCCGGCGATAACAAGGATGCCAAGATCCAGGAGGTTGCTTAAATGCGAGAAGTACTCGCGGGACGCGCATTGCGACTTACGGATGTGGAGAACGGAGGCATAAACGAGAGCACTTATCACAATCAGCATCATTGAGCCCATCACGCTCGGTTTATCGTATAATGTTTTGATCGACTCATAGTGTGACTAATTGGCACAAAGTCGAACGACAGGTTTAGCTAGCTTTATCGGCCTGCCAGAGAGGCAAAGACGAGAAGGACAAGTTGGAAAGGAAGCGAATAGTTCATTATTTTTCCTTCAGTGGTATGAGATGACGAAATAGCCAACGACGCTTTTTCTAATAGGAAAACCTTCCCCTCCGTAATTTCCCCGAGTAGCCCTACAGCATGCTTATTTTTTTTTTCTTCGATGATGTCAATAGCGCCATAGTGCCCCTCGTCGATGTGTGGCTTTGCGACCGTAGAACAGCAATCGGGGACATCGACCGGCCAGAGACAACTGCTGGTAAGATATCCCTATCTCGTTCTGAACATAACAGAACGTCCAATGTCGGCCATATGAAGAGATTTTTTGGTGGTCAAACCCGACAAGTAATGCGCCGGTGAGGGTTCGACCGCTGTTTGGCTATCCAACTCCATTGGCGGAGAGGCAGATTATGTGAAGTTGTTCCGCCACACTTGGAAATCCACACCTTGAAAATGTGGAGGAACCTGCAACCACTGCACACCACACGGCTTTTCTTCTTGTTCGTTTGAACCCCCCCCCCCATCCCGGTTGTTGATTCTTATCCTTCCCAGCCACGGCGTTGTGATTTTTGTTTTGCCTGACCCGGTTTCGACGTCAGGCCGACTCTCATTCAGACACCCTTTGGTCTTGTCTATTGTAATTTTCTACTCCCCCTCCGCTTAGCGGACTGTACCCAGTTTCGTCAGCCCGCTTCAGTTTCGGCTCTGTGGAAGTTCCCCTTCCGACTTTCCAATTCTATATTCGAGGGCGCATACGTCTCATCTGAGCAAACGTCCTATATTTCTACTCTTGATTCAGAAAAAGCGCATAAGATAAAACCGCCATCATGCCTCCCAAGAAAGCCGATCAGCCTAAGAAGAAGAAGGCCACCGTCGAGGACAAGGTTTGACCCTCGTGGCCCAATGTTCATTGCGTGCGTCGTGGCTAACCTGAGCGACTTCTTTGCAGACCTTTGGTATGAAAAACGTACGTGAAGTCTTTTCATGAAAACCTTCGCCTTTTCGCGCCTACCTTTATCGTCCAGAAGCACAATAAAAAAAAGTCCCATTCGCTGACCGGTTATCTTCCCTCGCAGAAAAAAGGTGGCTCCGCCAAACGACAGATCGCTCAACTCAATGCGCAAGCGGCCTCCAACAAGAATGCCGAAGAAAAGAAGAAGGAGGCCGAGAAGCTTCGCCGTGAGGCCGAAAAGAAGGCTGCTGAGCAAGCCAGAAAGGAGGCAGCCGACCTGTTCAAGCCAGTCCAGGTCCAGAAGGTTCCTTTTGGTGTCGATCCGAAGACCGTGGTTTGCGTTTTCTACAAGCAGGGCAACTGTGAGAAGGGTCGCAAGTGTAAATTCAGTCACGACTTAAGCCTCGAGCGCAAGGCCGCTAAGAGAGATCTGTACACCGATTCTCGAGATGTCAAAACTGCGGAGGAAGAGGCTAAGAAGAAGGACAATATGGAGGATTGGGACGAGGAGAAACTGCGCAAGGTCGTTATGAGCAAGCACGGAAACCCTCGGACCACGACGGACAAGGTCTGCAAATACTTCATTGAAGCGGTTGAGAACCAGAAGTACGGTTGGTTCTGGACCTGCCCCAATGGAGGCGACAAGTGCATGTACAAGCACAGCTTGCCACCAGGGTACGTTGCATTCAGCCGTCACGCAATACTGTTCGCGCAACTGACAATCTGGCTAGATTCGTCCTGAAGACCAAGGAGCAGAAGGCGGCAGAGAAGGCTTTGATGGACAAGTCGCCGCTCAACACCTTGACACTGGAGGATTGGTTGGAGTCCGAACGCCACAAGCTCACTGGCGATTTAACGCCTGTAACGCCCGAGACTTTCGCGAAGTGGAAGAAGGAGCGCTTGGACAAGAAGGCTGCTGAGGAGCAAGCTCAGAAGGCCAAGGAAGCCACTGGACGTACATTGTTCGAGAGCGGCAACTGGCGCGCTGAGGATAGTGAGAGTGAGAGTGAGGATGAGGACGATGGAGTGTGGAACTTGGATGCTCTGCGGCAGGAGACGGAGAAGATCCGCGAGCAGAAGGAAGAGGAGCGCCTGGCCAAGCTGCACGGTGAACCCGTGCCGGTTTCGAATGATGCACAGATCGCACAGGAAGGTGAGGGTTGATTGAGTTGGTGCAAGGCTCCCAAGTAAAAGAACTTGCTTGGGTGTTTGGGCTGCGGACCTCCCACATTGCAATCGGTGTACCGGGCCATCTGTCCGGGCCCGAGATGTTGATCGTGTTGATGGCTGGTGGATGCAACGCTCTTGAGTCGCAGGAAATGCTACATGAGCGTTTGTATCGACCTCCGCAACTGGGTTTGATGGCTCTGACGGTTAACGTGAACGGATTTTCGTGTCGCCTTTGGCTCCTCCCTACTGGACACCCTGCGAAGGGTGTCGAGGTTGATTCAATGCTCGAAGTATTGATCAGGAGGACAGACAAGGCGGCGGAGATTACACAGGATTGAGATAGATCAATGTGTTTGCGGTGAGAGGATGACTGACATGATTTAGTATGCCATATTTGTACGTACAGTTTTCTCTCAACACAAGCCAGCGTTGTCTTTGGCCGATCGTCGTCATTTCCAGTAGATTACCTATCAAGTATGAGTAACAGTACCACCTGCGGAAAGAGGAGTCGTGGTGTTGACTGGCACTATAAAATGGCTTCCCCGTCCGGCCTGTAGTTCCTTTCCCCCCACTTCCACGACCGAAATGGAGGTTCTTTCTTCTACGACCTTCAGCCCTATCTATGTCATGAAACAGCTGCCGAGGTATGTTTCACTATTTTACCGGTATTTGATCACCCTAAATTTGAGCCAGTCATTGTCGAGATATCATGCGAGGATGGAGAAGCTGGACACTGTCTCATTCAATTCAGCTATTAATGAGCCATGGCTCTTGGCTTGTGAGCATCCGCCAATTATCGTTTGCGCTTCGATGCTGCATAAGAATGACATTGTTTGCTAATTGGGCTGAGTGTCGGAGTGACTGTCTTACGAGACTGACCTTTTCTTGATCTGTCTGACACCCATGGCGCATGTTTCTCGCCCTCCTTTTCCCTCGATCTCGTCATCGTCTGAGTTTTGATAGACTACTACTTCTGCAGCCTTTCTCGCTCAGATGAGTATTTGCTTTCTAGATAGGCTTCCACTGGCCTTGATATTGGGTTTTCTCCCCTTTAGTAAGTAAGAAACCATGCCGTTCTCTCTTCTCGCACCCAGTGTCCTGACTCGTGTTGATCCGTCATACTAGCCGTGGCTCAAGTATGTCTCCCGCCTTTGGGTGAGGACGGGTACTCCTACAATGCGACCGACCAATCTGTCCTGGACGCCATCGCGAAAAATTGCACCACTATAAATGGAAGCATTGTGATCGCGACAGGCTATACCGGCTCCTTCTACCTACCCAATGTTCGCAATATCACTGGACAGATTCGCTATGGTTGGGAGGGGGACCCCGCGGTACCCGCACCGACGTCTATCAGTCTTCCAGATCTTGAGTACATGGGGAGTGATATGTACCTGCTGGGTATTTCGACTTTGGCAAATGTGTCCGCGCCAATGTTGAAGACGGCCGGGTGGGCGCTAAGAATGGATTATGTGCAGGACGTTGATTTGCGATCATTGGAAACCGTAAGATATGTGGAGATCTCTGGCGATATTTCCAGGTAAGCTCGGGTCGTCGTCTGGCGGCAATTATGAGATGCTATTGTTCAATGTGCTGATGCATCTAATGTAGTCTACGTCTAGACTCACTACGAAATGTCTCCGGACACTTTTCTATCTGCAATAAGGATAGATGCGAGGAAAACCAGTCTTCGACCACACCGTTATATATCTCTCTTCCTTCGCTGCAATCTGTGGGTACCATAGAAACAGCTGGAAGTCTGTCAGGGTGCGCCTGTCTGCCTTTGCACTCTTGTATCATCCACCAGAATTGAACGTTGACAGCAGCTTGTGTAGGCTAGCAGTGCCAAACCTCACAACTATCAAGGAAGAGGCTAGATTTGCTGGCTTCCACCGCACCGCATCCAATGAATCAGCTATCAACATTGCTTTTCCTCGCCTCAAAAGTGCGCCTGCATACATGATTTTGGGAGGGAACATCTCAAGGTGAGGGCTTCTGCCTCAACAGGGAGATCTGAGGTTAATGCAGGCTAACCAAAGATTCTCCCGAGAATACCAGTCTTTCCATGCCGGAGATGCGGAACATGAGTGGATATTTTCGAGTTGATGCTGGTGATTCACTAGCCATTGACCTCCCTTTTGAAGAGGCGTCGTCTATTGCCTTGTACGGAGCAATTTCAAGGTGGGTCTAAACCGAGCTTTTCAGCATATACAGGAAGTAAACTTCAGCTGACTGCGTTGGACGAAGTGTGAAATTTCCTAAGCTGAAATCCCTTTTCGGCTTCAGCGTCCATAGCAGCCTCTCCTTGGATTGCCAATCCGTGGAGGAAACCATCAGGAAGGCCGCCAATGGCTCAAAAGGCTATGTCGACTGCAGCTCGAAAAAGCACTCGAAAAGGCTAGGCACCGGGGCCATTGCCGGTATCGTGGTTGGTGTTGTGATCGGTGTCGGACTGATAGTTGCCCTTGGAGTACTGTATTACATCAAGCGGCGAAAGAGACGAGAAGAAAAGCCAGAATCGAACACGGAACTGAATGACTTAAGTCCACCATGCTACGAAGAGCCGCAGGCGGTTCAGGTTCCTCCTCCGAAGTATTCTCCTCCCTTGGGTTCGACGTGAGTAGTATGCATATGTCTGGCTGTCAACGTGGGTCCTATTTACTCAAGTCACTTGCTACAATATTGTATATATATCACAACTGTCAAGTGGGCTTGATCTGGGAATGTTTCTGCATTATTCTGGCCTGGGGCGCCCGGTATGGCCTGCTATAACAGAAAAGCTCTTGAAAGTGGTAGTATGGAGGGTTTCTTATTCAGTCTGCCTTACTCAATGTACATGTACCTTAGGTAGCAGTCATTCCTTTTTTCAAATCGGTCCCGTGATGGTGCTGATGATTCTTTGCTGCCCCAAGCTCTCTCACAGACAGGAAACCTTGCCTAATTGTCTCACCTGAGAATGTGACATCCCTGCCATTCTCCCCTGTGCTTCATCATGGATTTATCCAACGAGAATTTAGTCCTCGATTTGAACGCGAGACTACTGTTCAATGTCTTGCTGCAGGTTTCAGTCCTTGCTACTCCGGACTTTTGACTGATCGACAGCCGTTATCCCCCATCCAGTACACGCCAACAACATAATTCATCTGAGTTGCATCTATCACATAAGAAGCTTCCCAGACCGACAGACCTGCTTTTCCCGGCTCTTGGTCTTTCAACAGCATCCCACAGTATGGTTAGCATGAAAACTCTGAGCACATTTGTGCTCCCAGGACTCGCAAGTCACCTCTCTATGGTGGCAGCGGCCGGACAAACATGCGAGAACGGAATACGCCCATACTCAGCATGGTTGGCCGACAGTATCATCGCTCGCAAAGATGCGCTGTTGAACGTTGGCACTGAAAATGATGTCTCACTCTCCTTGAAGCTTGGACTGTTCCAACTTAGCGTTATCCATCTAAAGGAGTACTATGATGCTGCATCATGTGCGAAAGAGGACTGGGATGCATATCTGAAAGAGGCTACCGATAGTATCCTTCCCACAGTCTTAGACGTGGATGGCGATATCGAGGCTCCCATGGACGTATTTGCCACGGCTAACGGGCTGTACTACCAGTAAGTGTCGGGCCTGCGGTTCATCCTTGTTAAAAGCTCGACCACTGATCTGACACAACGCGATGCCGACTACAGATATGAGAAGTCCGGCCACGAGAGTTACAAGCAGGGCCTCGATGCTCTGAGGAAGGCATACGACGGCAGGAAACGTAACTCGGAGGGTGAGGCCACTGTACCTGGCTGGCCATTTCGAACCATCATCTAATTACCTGACAGGCGGCTTTTGGTACTATAACGCCCGGCCGAACCTCAGCTACTTGGATGAGACCTACCCCTTGGGCGCCTTCACTACCGTATACAAGAATCGCTTCGAGCCCACCAACGGCACCCTGGCCGAGAACCTCAGCAAAGACCTTAATCAATTCAAGGACCATTGTCACCACGATACTGGCTTGATGGCGCACGGCTACGACGCCTCGAAGTCAGCACCATGGGCCAACAAGACTACTGGTGCAAGCCCGTACGTCTGGGATCGCGCCCTCGGTTGGTACCACATGGGTCTTGTGGAGCTTCTCCACAACGCAGACCAATTTCCTGGCCTTTTCAACCAGACGCAACGAGACGACGCCTACAAGAAGTACTACAATCTTGCCAACACGATCATCAACGATGTAGACGAGACCACGGGGTGTTGGTGGCAGGTGATGGAGCATGGAGGGGAGCAAGGCAATTATATTGAGACGAGTGGATCGGCTATGTTCACATACTCAATTCTCAAGGGTGTGCGGCTGGGCTATCTGACGGGTGTTCACCCCGAGAGTGGCAAGGATTACAAACAGACGGCGGAGAAGTGCTATAGTTGGCTGCTTGAGAATCGAGTGGTCCGGGATGACAGCGGCACATTGAGTGTGAATGGCACAGTTGGGGTCTGCACTTTAGAAGACCCGACATATGAGGTATGTTTTCACCCCCCACCCTCAACATTTTGCAACCCAGTTACTGCTACATGGATATGCTTGGATGAAGTGCTGATTGAATGGTAGTACTACACTACCCAGCCGTTGTCATATAACAGTGTGTTCGGGGCGGCCCCGTTGGTGATGGCGAGCTTGGAGCATGAAATGGCTGCCAATGCGGTGAGCTCCTGAGCGATACGTAGCATGACCGAAAATATCTCAGAATATTGAGGGGAAACTGTCGGAGAGTTTATTTAATGGACAATGGTAGATGTTTTTGCTCACAAAGCAGTAGGATCAAGAGGAAAGCACGAGACTCCCATTCGTATACTAAATTTTAGTCACAAATGTCAGGTTCACATGCCGCCAAGTAATCCAATGTTGTCCAGAAGATTGTAACCCAGGAATCACAGATGCGAAGGTCAAGTAAGGTTGAGTTTGCCTCGTGCACAAATGGTTCGTGCCGACTGTAAGGGTGTCATCTTCTTACTTCACCAGGGGAAGCGAAGACGCCAATGCGAGCGTTTACGTGCTTGTGAGGACGATCTAGCAGAGACGAATTAGAACCCATCATGGGTACCAAGTACGAGTGGATATATTTGGTCTTTCATGCTTGACGCAAGGACTTCATAATAAGGAGTTGTGGGAGCATAAAGAGATTGTAAGCAGGGGATTTGTTCGTATTCAAATAAGCCAAGGTAGAATTTAAGCTCGCTCCATGGAAACTCTATCCGCCGCATGGAATATCGTTTAAATCGTTCAACTCGACCGTCGTTTCCATCCCGGCCCTGACAACTCCCTTGCCTCATACGGCTTATTCAATCATCGCCCCTTGGATAAAAATTGACCTTGACCCTTTCCAGGCACCTACTTTCTCTTTACGAGACCGGACGAATCTGAATTGGAGGTGTTCTTGGACCTTAATGCACACTGTCTGTCTTACTCGTATGTTCAGCAAACGTGCCACTCTGAGCCCACGGACGGACGAGTGAGAGACAACCTGGTTAGGATAACCCGATATCAAGTCCGATGCTTGTGATTTGACATCATCACTCTGCCAGAATAGACAATGCTCTGAAATCGGTGGTCTTGTGGTCATCCATTCCGCTATGCTTGGAAAGCATCAATCCAGACCGGGACCTCGTCCCAGCAATACAATATCGATTAACTCTCTTGGCCATTGCCACTTCCAAGATCCTCTTGCTTATGCTTCTATACTCGTCCGTACTACTCTTTCCACGGGCCTTCCAAATAGTCCCCTGCAGATATGGAACCTGAGCTGCCGAGTGGAGTCAGTCGCTGCTTCGTGCGATTGGAAGACTCATGTCTCAGTCAATCAATCAAAACTTAGTTATATATTGAGAGATCGACCTGGCGTTGGTGACTTGATCTGACTGTCCGAAATCTGCGCCGAATAGTCCGAACGTCGTGAAAATGCCATGTGAAATGAGCTGTGGAACAGTAGTTTCTCACATTGTCATTCGTGAGAACCCGTTGTCTCGACTCCTTCATACTCGGCCTGTCCGCCACTAGGCATCAATCACTCGGTGTGTGGGAAAAGTCAAGCCCACCAGCACTCGACGCGACTGTGACTCGGAAATTCCTTGCAAGGGTGGATTAGGAAGGAATCTACATGGGGGCTGATTTCCTTGGCTGGCTGGAGCTGTGGTGGTGGATGGTCCCTAACCTGGCCCCTTGCAGAAACGAAAGTTGCATGTTAGCATTCTACGGTGTTTTACAAGAATTTCCGAGTGCTAGGTAGGAGTCCCTCATTTGCGCTCAACTTTTGATTTTAATCACGGTCTTTTTAAGGTATGTGTTTGTTTGGATGGACACCAAGCCGAGACGGGTCAGTGTGTGTATTGATATGCATACACTTACGTCCATGATTTTTCTATCCTAGCTAACTTTCGTCCTTCATTTTCTAGTTCCAAATTTCAATCGTATATACTCAGCACTCCTCGTTCACCACACTCATTCTTCGTGGATGATAAACTCACGGTAGTGGCCATGCTCCGAACCTTCTTGCTTCTGGGCCTGCCGGGGCTCGTACAAGAAGCATTCGGCAAGAACGTGTATCTCGACTGGAACATCACATGGGTTAACGCAGCACCAAATGGTGTCGAGCGACCGATTATCGGTATCAACGGTCAATGGCCGTGTCCACAGATAGACGTTCACATTGGGGACAACTTGGTGGTAGATGTCTACAATGCCCTCGGAAACCAGTCCACCGGAATCCATTGGCATGGATTTCATCAGAACTACAATACCTTCATGGACGGTGTGCCTGACATAACCCAATGCCCGATCAAACCAAAGCAGCGCATGCGATACGTTATTCCGGTAATGGGCTCTATTCTAACGTGCTGACCCGGGTGGTGTTACTGACACACAAAACAGGTTAATCAAACCGGAACGTATTGGTATCATTCCCACCAAGAAGGCCAGTATCCCGATGGAATCCGAGGACCGATTGTTGTTCACGATACGGCACCATTGCCTTTCCATTACGACGAGGAGATCACTGTCACACTCTCGGATTGGTATAACAGACAGATGCCCCAGCTCACCGAAGATTACGTCTATCCGGCGGACGGGCCGGCTGGACTAGAGCCGTTGCCAGATGCGGTTCTGTTCAACGATGCAGTCGGAACCAAGATTCCAGTCAAGCCGAACAGAACCTACCTCATCCACGTTGTCTGCATGGGGAACTGGGCCGGGCATGCGTTCATTGTTGAGGACCACGATCTGACTGTCGTCCGAGCCGATGGCATTCTCGTGGAACCGAAACTTGCGACACCTCAATACCTTCGGATGACTGTTGGACAGCGCCTCGACCTACTCTTAACAACAAAGAACGATACAAGCAGGAACTACGCAATCTGGGACGGCCTTGATATCGACGAGATGTTTATCCGAGAGAACCGCGCGATGCCTGAAGGATACAATGCTAACGGCACTGCATGGTTGATGTACAACGAAGATGCGCCCTTCTTGCCGTCCCCGGATATCCAGATCCATAACGCAAGTTTGGAGTTCTTGGACGACGTAACGCTCACACCGGTAGATGGCCTTCCGCTGCTTGAGCCTGTGTCTCGACAAATCGTCTTGGACTTCAATTATGCCCAAGTCGACGGTGTTCCCACTTACACTATCAACGGCAACACATACGAAACTCCCAAGGAGCCCACCTTGTATACAGCCTTGGCTGCCAGCAGTGAAGAGTCTTTGGACCCGTCGATATATGGTTCCATCAATCAATATGTGGTCGAGTATGGTGAAATCGTAGAGCTTGTCATCAACAACAACCACAACAACCTGCACCCTTGGCATTTGCATGGACATGACTTCCAGATCCTCCAACGTACATACCCGAACGGTGGTGCTTTCAACGGCTATGGCAATATCTCGGCAGTTCCGTCGCGACGAGACACTCTCATGGTCGAACCCAAGGGCCATGCTGTCCTTCGTTTCAAGGCAATGAATCCAGATAAGTACCCATGCCTCGCGCATTTTTTGCCTTAAGCTAACTTCGGCAGCCTTTACGTATCTGGATGTTCCATTGCCATATCGAATTCCATGTTGAAACACGTCTCATGGCCGTGATCATTGAAGCACCGGACCACTTGCAGAACCTGTCTATGCCAGCTGATCATAGAGACATTTGCAGTGGCAAGCCGAGTCTTTTCGCGCCTCTGCCGCCTCTTCCAGGTTTCTGAAGAGTTGACTACTGCTATTAGGTGGCGAAGTGCTCCGAAAGAAATCTAGATAATGGTCCGATATACTGGTTCATATTTTAGATGAAGGGGGCGTTCTTGGGCAGCTCATCTCATTTTCCTTTCTCTCATATACGGAACTGTTCTTCAAGCTTATTTGTCAATACAAAACAGTTGGATGGAGAAGGGAGTTTTAAACATAATGTACACAAAATTTCGAGCCACAGGAATCAGGGCTTGCTGTGGTCGTGATTATAAATGGCTATACCACGGCCCAGTTAATCATGAACCTTCATCGCAGAAGCAAACACCTATAGCAGGGCCTTTTGCTGGACCAGACCATGCTCCGCCATGAGCTTAAACACATCCTCAGCTACACCCCACGATAGCTCAAAGCCGCGTCCACCCGCCCCGTAAGCATGGACAACCGTGCGCTCCCCATCGCCGGCCTCCAGCCATTCGACCTCAATCCGCATGCCACCCTCTCTGGCCGGTCGCCGCCCGACGATATCTCGAATGACATCGAACTTCCCTTCACTCCCCTCGGCAAAAGGGAACCACTTGGCCGCATTCGCCAGGATCCGGGCTCGCGTCTCCGGCGACGGGTTCGGATCCCAGTCATGTGGCTGCTTAGTGCCGCCGATGATCGTGCCGCCTCCCAGCGGCCGGGGGATACAGAACGACCACGACCCATCGCTATTCTGGCGGGTCATGGTCACGGAGCAAGGGTTTCGAACTAGACAGGTTTGTCCTAAGCAGTTGGGGTGTGTGTGTCAGCAGCATCGATCCAAGTAGAGCTTCTTCTACCACAAAGCCCCGGGAGGAAGGTATCCCTAAACCCACCCCCCAGGTACAATAGTCACATCCTTACCTCTAATAATAAAAGCCTTTCCATCCCCACCCCCCAGCCCCAACCCCGAACAATTGACCACCGTCCTCACCTTTCTCGTTCCTCCCTCCTGTCCAGCCCCGCCCACAAAGAACGCCTCCCGCACATCCCCCAACGTATACTCCCGCACCTCTCCGCCGCGCAGCACAAACTCCCTGAGCATCCACTGACAATACACCGGTGAATTGATGACGACCGTCTCATACTCTGCCCCCCACCGCACCCCCACCGGCAGTTCTGTGGGCGGTAGAACCCGGAACCCGTCCACGTGGGCATACGCGGCCTGCACGGCCACAGCATCGAGGTACTCGGGCGGCGGCTGCTCAAGGTGCTCCACCGCGGGGCAACGCGCGACGCCCGCGCCGGGCTGCGTGCTGGCTAGGGACTTGAGGTGGGTGTATGTGCGGTGGGCTTGGGAGGCTTCGCGCCGGTGTTGCGAGTCGGTGCCGGGGACGGGCCGGTAGTGTGCGCCGGCCCAGGGGGAGGTGTAGTTTAGGGAGGTGGTGTGCGGGAGGTCGCGGGCGAGGAGGAGGATTTTGGTGGTGGTGGTGTTGGTGTTGTTGATGTGGAATTGGAGGTAGAGGGCTGTGCTGAGGCCTATTACGCCAGCTCTGTGGGTGGGTTAGCGTGTGGGTTGGAGGAGGGATGGGGTGGTGGTTGGAGATGGGGATGGGGACGTACCCGATTATGACGATTGTTGAGGGTTCTTGGGTTGGCATTGTGTTTGGGCTGTGCTGAGATGGTGTTGATTATGGGAATTGGTGTGTTTGAGGGTGTTTTTGATGTTGGAGATGGTGGTTGGAGCAGTCGTTGTTGTTGATGGAGTTGAGTGGGGTTATCGGTATAGATAAGGCTGTTGTTTCCCCGCATGCTGGATCTGGCTGCTTATGAAATGAGCCTTGTGACTCATAGTACGAGAGATGCATGCTACTAAAGAGTACGGTTGACAAGGTTTGAATGACTGTTAGATGCCGTCGAAGCTTCATTGTGCTCTGATCTTCTATTTAGGTTCTGGGTTGACATGGCCATCAAGCCACCCTCGACTATCTACCACGCATGCCCCACAAATCGTCATCGCCCGGGTATCGCTGTGGTTGTGTGACGTGACTCGCAAGCTTCGGATGTCGTGTCTCGTCGTACCCTGCAGACTGAATTCACACATGGAGTCAAGTAGTGGCCAACCTGGTCTGCCAGACAAGGTGCGATCTCGTTAGACGAGGAAGTGCCCTGGGCACGGTGTGAAGATCCGTACTCGAGTCGTGCAGTTGTGCAGCATCGTGCGATTAAGTGGTATCAGGAAGAAATAATAACATCTGTCGTCCAATCCGGACCCTTGCCGAATGTGTTGCTGAATCTAATCCAAAGAGTCGGGCAGCTTCTCAATCGTGAACTTTCCTCTGGCGACCTTCATAATCGGCACACCCGGAATCTTGCGCAAACGACGACACAGATCTTTATCGTTGGTCGCCACAATGTAAATGCGATGTTTCGAAACCTGGAGTCGGCAACAATTAGCGCACTGTAACTCACACACTTTTACAGAAGTTCTCAACTCACCCGATCCACGATACAGTCATCTGCATACGTGCCCTTGTGGGAGCACTTCACCCTCGCCCATCGGGGATCTTTGGCAGTCCGGAGCGCCAACCGGTACTTCTCCCCCAGTTTCTCCAACTCGGCAATCGTGCAGTCCGAAAATGTCGGAATACATTTCGCGTATAACCTTGGATTCCACAAGTCTTAGCATCATCCCTATTGCCACCATTTCAGGGCTTCACACAAACTCACAGATCCATCATAGAGGTAAGGAGATCCTGCTTCGCCCGAATGGCGTGCGAGACAAAGTTGGTATCGACGAGAACGTGGTAGGGAGGGCCGAGCGCAGTGTTGGCGGCGAAGAACATGTTCGAGGGCGCGACGGGGATGTGACGGGTCAATTCGTTCTCCTTGGGCTTCTCTGGCTTCTTATTATCGGGTTTCAGGCGCTCATCGCGGGCTTTGATGGTGCGCTTCATCTGTTTTGGCAGACTGGAGTCAGTATTGAGCTCTCTTCGGGCAGTTCGGGCGCGGACCGACCTGCGCAAACTTGCGAGTCTTCTTTTGCACGCCCATTGTGATGTGTGTTTTGTGGAAGTGTTTGGTAGTGGTAAAACCAGATTTCTGGAGTCGTTCGAGAAAAAAAAAAAAACAGGCAATAAGATACTGTTCCGTGGAATTTAATTATGCCTTACGATGCTTTGGTGGAAGCCAAAAGATTTTGGAGATGGCGGAAATTCATATCACGGGCCGATATTTCGCCGCGGAGGAAATGTACCGGCAGAATTGTGTACGGTCATGTGATCCTCAAGAAGAGATTAGCGTATGTGCTCACTGCTCGCGCTCCGCCTTATCGCGCCCCCGCTCAGGCCCGGCCCAGAATAGTAACTGCCCGTTCTATGTAGTATGAAGTTTGTACCTATCGACTTCTTTTGTGCCGCTCTATAGTCAAGCCATACAGGCTACGGCACCCGCTTCTACTGAGTAGTTCAGCATGCATTGGACCAAACAATACTTCAAGCACTCACTTTCCCGCTTATAGAAAACCAGCTTCTACACATTCTCGATGGCAGCTATACCGCATCTTTAAACCATCTGAGACAGTGGAACGAGGCCTCATCCAACCCCGCAATCATTGGGAGTTTCTCACAGACGCTAAGGAAGCCAGTCACTAGACTAGTCACACTGCTAGTCACATCACATTTCTCCCGCCACTATCAATGTCCCACCACGAAAGACTCGTCCACGTCGTACGTCATCGTCCAAGGTCCATGTCATATCGCTCGAGATCGTTCGAAAGTGATATTGAGGTGGCACAATCACAGTGACTTTCTACGGCTGTACCACCGTGCGATGCCATAGTCACCGGCAATGTCAAGGACGGTTTTCTTTCCCGTGTCACAGTCGCAGTTCGCTCCAGTGATAGGCATACACGGCTCGATCTGCCTTGACATTGCCAAGGGCCAACCATGCATATCAGTCATTGGCAGCAAGCAACTATCTCATTATCGCTGGATTCGTCCAAACAAATCCCCCAGCCTTTGAAGCACAGACCTTGTCTCGCCGGGAAAGTCTGTACTTGAGTCCTAGCGTTCCTAGGTCTAACCTTGGTCTCCTCAAGTAGCGTGTACATTGTACTGGGTAGAACGTGATTCGATAACCACTAGCACATCGCCTGATGCTGGCAATGACCCTTTCCTAAGGAGCAACATTCTACAATTGGCACAGAGTTGCTGGGCTTTGCTGCAACGGGCAGCCATTCAGATGCCAGGATGGCCCTTTACGCGCCGCCCTACTTACTGACCAGCGACAACGGAGCTTTGGCGGCGGGTGATTGGTGCGTGGGAGTGATGAGGCCTGCAGCAGCTTATGCTTGAAGAAACGCCTTCTGCACCGGGCGGACCAATCAAGCGGGGCTCCCCCAAGATTGATCCGCCCGTCAAGGTCCCTGACAGCCGCCGCGAGCCATGCAGAACTCACCGTTGACTGGCATGCTCTATTTCATTCCCGCTCAGTTTGCCTAGTTAGGATGAGAGTCTTACACTCACCCCCCATTTCCGTGCAACAATTGGACCTGCGGACTTAACTTGATTCCGATAGTTCCAAACTCTCTTTCCTCCCTCTCCAGAAACTGCGCCTCATCTTGATGGTTAGATCAGGTCTCCAGATACTACGGTAACTGGCTATCCTGCTGCTCCACCGAGAACCTACCGATACTGTCGCAATGGAAACTCACTAGGACAGCGATCGGACTCTGCTGGGTCGACAGACTGTCTCATGCCTCTCTTGTGCCGTTGCTGCATGCTAGTTGGTGTGCCATGCGAGGGCCACCGACAGCTTTTAATGCCGCTCGATGGGTCTTCTTGACCCTCGTCCGCTAATTATGTCCCAGAATAGTCCCCTCCTCTCTCATGCTGGTGACATCCCGGTCCTCGGAAGCGCCGTCAACTCTCCTTGGCGCTAAATCCAATTGCTTGATATCTCGATATTTCGATCGACTGTGGCCGTTACCTCTGCGACGTCTCAGACCCTATAGGCACGTCTAGAGACACACGGCGCGGAGTTAGAGGCTGGCGCCATCCGAAATTAATAATTTACAAAACGAGGTGTACAATTTGTGCTCTTTCACCTATCTCTTGGACTTCTCGGTTGTCAACCCCGGATTCTCCTGGCCAGGGAACGACTTTTTTTAAAACAAAACTTCACCCCCTGTCGACTTGTCACAAAGCCTCTTTTTTATCCTCGTGCATGGTGTATGTTCCAAACGTGGTAGCCTGCTTAGTTCACACGCTCATTCTCACTGCATCGTTCCTTCTGTGCTATTGTCTGCATTGTCGTGCGTCCGCATATCTTACCAGGTTCAATTTGATCATTTGCCGGGCTTCAAGAATCTCTAATCGTCCCCCACCTCTTGATCGCCCCATCACTTTTTCTCAGTCTCATACCTTCGTCCACTGCCTTGTTCTGGATTGTTTGTGGTTCTTTCGGCCGGTTTATACATCCTTATTCATCAACACTAGTTCTGTGTTTCTGTTCCGCCAAACACTTAGAGGCGTGCGAAAGCCGTTCTTCTGGGCCAGGCCGACACGCAATCCATACTATATATTGTGTCGCAAAACAAGAGTATCAGCGTCTGTGAGCATGATAATCTGAGTATCGATTACTTCGCTCTCGCGCACTCACCCCCGAGCCTGTTCTGCTCCAGGTCGCCGAACATCGATTTTCAAGGGACTACTGCTGTTTCTCCTCCCTCTTTCGCTACGCTAGAGGAGAACTGGCTGAGCAGAAGGGTAGGAAGCCAAATTCGGAAGGACAAGCTTGACTCACAAGTGTGCTATTCGGAAATGGTCGACTTGTCATGGAATACTGGAATGACAGCAGACTCGAGACCCTCGGCAATGAAACCACCAGCGCCGACCATGATCCCGACGCCGCAAGAATCGACTTCTCGGTTTGAACCCTGTGCATCAACGGCGTCACTTTTTCTTTACGCCCAAGGCTCCGTGATTTCCTGTCTTCACCATGATACCTTGGCACTCGAGAGACGCTTTGAAAATCACCAGGAGGATATCGAGTTCATTTCGGTCGATAATGTCAGTGAGCGTGGTGCTGGGAGACTGGTGCTTAGTTATGATGTCGGCAAAACTGCAATTGTTTGGGATATCTTTACAGGGACTGTGATTGCAAGGTTTGCATCGTTTGAACAACTCAAAGTTGCCACCTGGATGCGAAATGGGAACGTCGCTTTCGGTAGGTATATTACTTCTTATGCGGATTGGGAACAAGACGACTGACACCGTTTCAAGGAAACGAGAAGGGAGATGTTATCATTTTTGAGCCGTCAACCTCGGAGCACATCTCCTGTCGCACCATCTTCGACCCCATAACCGCTCTTGCACCGGCCACAGACTGTCGAACATACGCGATAGGGTAACCTTCAAACCAAGTAGCTGCCCTCATTCAGGGCTGACAGACCTTATTTTAGTTACCAGAATGGCTCTATAATGATCGCTACGCTCCACCCAACGTTCACGATCTTACATACTATGGCCACCTCTCGAGGACCGTCATCCATACTCTCCTTGGCCTGGCATGCCTCCTCCTCCAAGCAGAAATCTGATATGCTAGCGACACTATCGGCAAATGGTGATATGAGAGTGTGGAGCGTTGCGAAGCCACCAGGAAAAGAACCTCCTCGAGTCATCAGGGTATTGAAGCGGTCGGATGGCTCGCCACCATCAGAGCCAAAATGGATGGCTTGGTCAAAGAATGGAAGAATTGTACAATATCTTGACGGGTAGGTGTACCCCATCCGGCCTGCATTTGGCAAACACTCGGTAGCTAATGGCCCGAATTGTAGAGAGACATGGGCCTGGGATGTCAGGACGAAACATGTCACATACGAGCCAGTCCCTACGATCGACAACCCTCGCGGGTTTGCGAACTATGGACCAACAGCGACGCTTTTTACGCTAGGGCCGCAGTTCACTGTTCAGCAGTACGATGTCGAAGCACCAGCGATGGTGGCCAACGTACAACATCTCCCGGCCAGTGTCATGTCCTTGCCCCAAGAGCAAGCGAAGCTACGGACTCTCGAGGATCCACCTACGATAAAAGAGTCTGCAAACGCGTTCAATCCGAGAAGGACTCCATTCGACATGAACGGGATTGAGGTTGTTCGACAACAACGTGCGGAACTGAGCAGTCCAGTCTCTTCTCGAAGCCATGCGAATTCGGTCAGTTCCAAGGCATCTTCGGGGAAATATAGAATGGGCACATTCTCGCCACAGAGCCGATCAGGAGTAACCGGGACGTCATTTTCATTGACATCTGCATCCGGACGAGATACTCCCCAGGCGTCGGGAGCCTCATATGCCTACGCCTCTTCTGTTTCAATGTCTTCAGTCAAAAGCTCTCGTGCTGGAGCCTCGCGTCTTAGGAATGAGGTCCAACTCAGCCCTGCAGATAGACCCAGCGATCTGTTCCCCTTTACGCGCGCACGTTTGAATGATGTCCCCTACGGACATCACCAGCCACTTGATGAATCCCGCCTGACTCCAGACGATCTACGGCAACAGATGTTGAGCGTTGTTTTTGGCTTTGACGGTGACATTGAAGGATTGATTCGAGACGAACGTAGGTTCAGGAGAATTTTTAGTAACACCGTGAGTTAGCTGACATCTCCAATAGTTAGCCATCATCCTCCAGCGAGCCACGATGCCGTTCTGCTAGCTCAATGGCTCGGGGAGTCCGACACTGACAAGATGGTTTCGATGATCAATTCAGGGTCTGCGACAATTACTGACTGGATGCTACTCGCTTTCAGCCAGATGTCCGGAGAGTCCCAATCAAACAAATTCGGGCAAGCCTTCGTTCAGAAGCTTCTGGAGATTGGCGATATTCACACGGCGGCCACTATATTATTAGGACTGGGAGATAGGAACGACGCGATTGAGGTCTACGTTTCTCAAAATTACTATCTGGAAGCAATACTGATGACATGTCTGGCTATGCCCACAGACTGGCAACGCCAGTCATATCTTGTCCGTCGATGGGGTGAACACGTGGTATCTCATTCGCAACAGCAGCTGGCAATTCGTTGTTTTATGTGTACTGGTGTTGAACCATCGGAACCATGGACTTCTCCTGCGGCTCAGCAGGCGGCATCGTTCAGCGAGGTGATCACCCAGAGACCTCAGATGAAGTCACCCGAGCCACCATATGCGAACAACCCTTCCAATCTGATGGTCCCAGGCTCGCAAGCGAGACCTCCAGCTACCAATACCAGACAAGCTCTGAAAGCGCCGGCTCTCAAGCTGATCACATCATTTGACTCACAACCGAACCACAAATACAACTTCCCCGGGTTGAAGTCAGATGATCGAACGCCAACAAATGCTCCCGGGGTCACGCCTATAGCCGAATCGGCCGTGGTGGAATCGGCTCTATCGCCCGGTGGCTTTGGCTCTTACAAGCTCAATAATATCCAGAGCTTGAACAATGCAATGAACGGGCGGACAAACACACCTGCGTTTAACAGGCGCCGCCTTCCATCCATAGGGGAAACGCCGATTGACGTTCATCCACCGACATTCACCTCAGCCGTGTATAACAATAAGCTTGCTATGGACTATGGGTCGGCTTCTGAGAACGAGGAGATTCAAGCACGGGAACAACAAGACGACGAAGACGGCGACGGTCTTGGCTTACTGTCGTCTGCCCGATACGATCCGGAAGAATACAAACCCAGTCCTCAAACTGCTGTTCAGGCAGCGACCGACCAATTCGCGGGGATTAAAGGCCTTCCTTCTCCAGCTGCCGGTGTCTTCGAAGCGTTGAAGGAGCGCTCTGATAGTAGGGCAAGTACCCGAGAACGGAAGCCAGAGGGCTTGCAGCTTCATCTAGGCGGCTCTTCTCAGGCCGACGTACAAGAGCAACCGAATCTGCTGGCGAACTTCAGAAGTCCAGCATCGACATTGAACAGCTTTAGCTCCGCCAGAAGCCCAAGTGTGAGCAGTCGGAGTATTGATCAGTATATCAGTAGTTTGGGTGAAGCGAGCTATCATTCGCATAAGTATCAGACTCCAACTGTGAATACTCCTGGACGCGGGCGAAGAAATACGGACGATGCGGTCAGTCAAGCCTCGAGTCGGAGGTATCGGCCCAGAAACGAATCTCAAGAGACTCGTGGACGACACGAAAAAAGGTACATACAACCTGCCAAGCGTTCGCCATCTTCTCCAGTTCCAATGTCCCCTGAAGAGCTGGCACGGATCAATGCGAACGCCGCGAACAAGCCATCGTCTCGAACACGCAGTGCTAGCAGAGTACGGAAGCCACGCTCTCGTAATTCTTCCGAACGTCGCCAAAATCGTTCAGCAAGTCGCAACACCGCCAGCCGTATAAACACGGAACATTCGCAGCGTGGACGCAGTATGGATCGCCAAGGGTCAAGCATGAGATCTCCTTCATCACCGCTTCCACTCCCCACAATGACCCCAGATGACGCTATGAGACTCGTGACGAGTGATAGGGAGCGTTTGCGGACTCGCCAGCGAAGTGGCAGCCGGCGTCCGGACAAGAATATGAGCATGAAAGGAGACGAAGCAAGACGTCCTAGAGCAGACTCTCGCAGCCATCCTGAGATGGAAGTCACCCTTAATACGGATCAAGACCCTGTTGTCATGTTACAGGACGGGAAGTTTGACGGCATGTACGCTGATGATAGCAGTCAACAGATCAGGGAATTTGTGGCCGAGTTAGCACGCGAGCCGCCTCCGATGGCTAACAAACAAGCCGCTCTCGTAGAGCAGAGGAGGAAGCAACTTGCAGCTGCTGAACTTGAGGCACGTCGGCTGTCACTGGCGCGCAATCCATCTGCGCCGAACATTCCATTTCCGGGAGAATTACAATTCGCCCGCACTGCTCCGGACAGCCCACCATTCTCGGTGTCATCCTCATTTACACCTCATACTCCAGGTCGACACAGGACTACTGCTAGTAAAGGGTCGCCGGAGGGTCCAAGCAGCTCCGAGTCGACCTCATCTAAGTCGAACGTGCCCTATGGCTTGCCAGCGACTCCTCGAGCTATGCGACACCCCAAGTACAATGGTTACGAGGAGGCCGTAGCAGTCCCTCCTATACCCGATAGTACTATACTTCTAAGCGACGCAAGATATCAAGGAGATGCTGAGAGGATTGGCCGTTCGATGTCCGTCCCGGTCCCTGAAAGTCAACCGTCTGGCCTAGTGCCCACTGACTTACCAATGCATCCACGATTCAACCCACGGCTACCTAGAAGCCGCTCGACAAGTCGGTCACGGGGTAAGGGCCATCAGCGAGAGAATAGTGGAAATAGCTATGGCGGTTCGCCTGTCACAGTGAGCATCGAAGAGACCATCGAGAATGGACTTTTGATGCAACAGGCCGAAAACCCTCCCATTTTACCGCAGCTTCAACATTTGAATCCGCCGCCACCTCCACCTCCTCCGATTCCTCCCTTGGCCTCTCCACGCCAGTCTTCGGGCACCATCGATATTGCGTTCGATAACGAGGACTTTGGACGGCTTCTCCCTCGCGCGATGACCGCCGCCCCGGCACTGAGCACTGATGTCCGTCCCGGCGGCTTGGAACGCCGCCGCATGTCCTTTGAGCATCGACGAGGCCGCAGCGTGAATGAAAGCCTGAGCACGAAGATCCGCAACTTGACACGGGTGGGTCATAACAAGGGCAGCGAGCCCTGGGTGTCTGCGGAGATCCACATGCCTTATGAAAGCGTGCAGGTGATGGATGGTCGGCTGTAGAACAACCTATACCACCACCGGCTCCATGCTATGGTTCAATGATCACAGTAGTTGAACTCTTATGACTAACGAATTGATTGTTCTTCTTTTGGTTTGCTTCTTATTCTGTGATTTTCATCTTAATATACACCACAAGCTTCCTCCATCCCATTCCTGGGAATGTATAATTTCTGATGTATCGTTGCCTTTGATAACCAAGATGAATGACCGAAGCGATGTAACCTAATTTACTCAATTTTATCGCTCTTATCCTTTTTCCTTTCCTCTACATGTCTTGATCACTATTCCGTATTCCCGAAAAGTCCTTTTCAGAAATTCAATTGACGGAGTCTCTCTCTGCGGCTTACATTGCTGTGTGATTGTAGTCGCTTCTTTCTGAAAGAGGACGCAATTGGAGAGAGTGTGGGACATCTTGAGAAGAGATGCAATGATCCGGTTGTATACATACAGAAGAAATCTCAGTGACACATGTACCTGGGACGGTAGCCAGGACTCGTAAGGATAAACAGCGCTTGAAGACAATCATGATCTCGGAGCACAGGCCTCTCACACTACCATCTGCTCCATTCACCACTTCTCCTCCCCGAATCCGACCCAGCGTGCCGTTCAGCCTCGAGCATGCGGTCGAAGTCCGCCTGAGCCTTCTCGCGCTCACTGTGGCTCTCGCTCTCGCTCTCATGCTCGGCCCGAGACCAGTCAGCCTGCTGCGGCCTGGACTGCGGTCGCACGGCGTTCATGCGCAGGCGGGCCCACGCACTTCCGCCCGTGGGTCTGCGATGCTCCGCCGCGACAGGACTGGCATCGTCGTGGTCGTGGTCGTCGTCGTCGAAGAAGTCGCCACCCCCGGAGGAGGAGGAGGAGGAGGGCGTCTGCTGATGCTGGTGCTGGTGCTGCCGCCTCGAAGTCCACGTCGTAGAGCGAGGCGTAACTTCACTATAGGAGTTCGTCGTAGAACCGTACTCATCACCACCGCCACTACCACCACCATCACCGCTACTAAACGCGTAATCATCCATCCCGTGGGCCACGGGCGACCCATCATCACCAGCACCAGCACCATAACCCGCAGCACCTCCCGGCTCGCTCACCGGGCCGACGGCAACCGTCGCAAAAGCGGCGGCCGCCTCGCGCCGCCTGCGGGCCTGGTCAGACATATCGGTGGCGGGCGCCGCGCCGCCCAAGTGCACGGCGGCGCGCGAGCGCTCCATGTCGTGGCGGACCGTCTCGAAGCGGGGATCATCGCGCCACATGGCGACCTCGCCGAGGGTCGCCCACGAGGAGGCCCAGAAATCAGCGACGAGGGTCCAGACGGCGACCTTGAACAGCCGCGCGGCGGCCATCGGCCGCCCACCGCCCATGGCGCCGGCGTCGCCCATCATCTGCCAGCCGCGCCGGAACCCCTCCCACGTCAGGACCCGCTTCCCGGCGGAGTTCGCCGTGGCCTGCGGCGCGAAGTAGGTCTCCCAGTCGGCCGAGTAGCGCAGCGCGTAGGCCTGGTGCGCCAGCCCGGCGAGCGCGCCCACGGGTACCCCCAGGCTGCTGCGCCGCGCGCTCTGCGCCATCATCTCCAGCAGGGCGTCCAGCTCCGGCTGCGTCGGCGACCGCCCCGTGTGCCGTCGGATGTTCTCGAGCCGTCGGTAGGTGTTCATCTCCGTCTTGGCGACGTAGTTGGCCCGTCCCCACAGGCCGAGGTACAGCGTGAACGGGTTCGGGTTGCGGATGAGGCTCTCGTCTACCCGCAAGGGCTTGAAGGCGTGCTCGAGGTATTGTTTCGTGGTCGTGCCGCCGGGCAGGCGCAGGAGGCGCGGCGGGCTGAGGCGGTTGGGCGGGGATTGTTGGTGTTGGTGGTCGCTCCCCTCCGGCGGGACCGGGGGGTTGTGGTCGCTCATTTTTTGGGGGTTGATCGGATCTTGGGGGGTCTGTGAGAGGCTTGGGTGAGTTTGAGACTTTGTGTCAATTGGGATATTGCGGATGAAAGGTGAGGGTTTGTGAAGAGAAGTGCGGAGAACGGACGAGGAAGAGGAGAAGCTAACTATAGCTTTGTGGTGAGGTCAGCTAACATAACTTGACTTATGCGCGTTGTGCGGGGCTGCGTTAGTCAGCCTGTGCTTGCTTGTGTTTCTGTACCACCATGATGAAGTTACTTGCCGCATGCTGGAGGGATTATGGTGCGATTGAGGGCTTTATGTATCTACTTGGTGTAATAAGATGCTTTAACCACTTCGTCACTTCGAAGAGTTTACAGCGATGTTGGGCGACAGTTGTTGGTAGAGCGACCATGGAGTTGTTAAAGTGGCCCAGTTTGTATGGAGACCTACGGCCCCTCGGAACTACATCTACACCTTCCAACGTTTGCATGCATGTTATGATCTTTGCAATAGCCGGTGGGACTGTAAGAAGCTAGATTTTGTTATCAATATATAGCTAGGTAGTAATGAGGTTAGTAGTTCATGACCACTGACTGGTAAACTTCAGGCCAGAGCATCATCTACACTGTAGTCCATCGGGCAATAATCCCTTACGACGAATAATTACTTACTCGACTCCTTTCAAGTACGAGGGCCTTGCGTCGCCGCCCAATAGTCGTCCATATTATGAGAGCGTCCATAAGAATTGATCAGGCATGCTTGCTGTTTATTAGCTCGATCCACAATTGCAGGATTGTACGGAGTTTATCTGGTTTGAGACAATCAACCGCGAGCACCATCTAGTAGATAGAAAGATCGATCGATCGTTGTAGAATCGTCTGGTGGCACACTCGGCTCAGTCCGTTCGGAGCGGATCGAGCCTAGGACTTTGTTAATCAGGAGAACAGTTAATTGCTCAATGGATCAAAAAAAATATCGCTAAAAAACACAATACGGAACATGGGTATCTATAAGTAATCCTTGCCAAAAAAAAAAATCATCCAAAAACGCCGTTCAATGCTGCAGCAAGGTGAGACCGATCCAATGGTCAATGACTCCAACCAATGCCGAATGGAATATCTGACTTGTAGGCAACCAAAGGCTTTGGCAGCCTGCCTACGCAGATTATGCACGTTCAAAACCTGATCAAAGACCAGGTAAAGCGGCTGTATGGCACCAAGATGCATGTTCTGACACGCGGTGTCAAGATTCAACAAGGTTGAATTTCAGGAGCTGGGCCGTTCCCACTCCTATTTGAAGGTTGAGTGTCTGGCAGACGTGGTACCCAGATCCAACACGGTGAATCTTAGGGACTTGGCGGCTCTCACTCCTAGCTAAGGAAATCAATGTCGAACGACCGCGCGGTCAATCAACAAACTTTGCGGCCGATATGCTTTATATCAGGCTTACAAGACCAGCAGCTCCTTGGAGATTTTACTGCTGGGTCTTTGAAAGAGTCAACACAACTGCAGTGTGTTGCCTCCGGAGAAGACTAGTATCCAATGGACAGGATCCACAAGGTAGAACCTATGGGTATAGGCTGTAGAAGTATGATGAGAGAGTCGAACCTGCTAATACTGTTCGTAGCTGTATTGAGTCCCTCAGGTCTCAATCCCAGTCAATGGACTGGTAGCATCGGATGCAGTATCAGGAAGTTCAGGCTCTTCCACCTTCTCGGGAACACCCGAAGAGACGGAGACAACCTCCGTAGCAACAGTATCGGGAATGGTGCGTTCGTCATCGGCGATCTTGCCGTTGCGGAAGCTGGACCTGTAATCCGAGGGCGAGACATTCGACCGCTGCTCAGGACGCGTGGACCTAAGCTTAATCCGGCCGCGCTCCAGCGCTCGAAGCAAGGTACCAACTTCCTCCGTCACGATGCTTCTGAGCTTGCTCATGGTATCGTCGGAGACTTCCGAATGAGCGTTCCATCCCAGTTTATCTGATTCCTCAGACGTTAAAGACTTAGCCTCCAGCGATGGACCATCGATAAGCCGCTTCAGGGTGGTCGGCGACATGTTGTTCGGTCGGCGGGGCATCTTCACCGGCTTTTCCTTCGCACTGGACGCTGCTGAAGCGACTTCTTCCTGCTGCCGCTTGGGAGGACGAATATGGAGGGTCAACCCTTCTCCGACTTCGTTGCGGATTTTGTAATAAACCAGCCCCAGAGTTGCTGCTAGCGCCTGATGCGCAGCCTCAGGATACAGACGAACAGCCTCCGCGCGTGTAAGGGTGGACGGATAGTCACTCGAGTCACTCGAGTCACTGTCGGTTGCAGTGGCGTACACGGGCTCCGTCTGGTGCATACGGCCCCAATATTCATACCCTCCAAGCTGGTAGAAGTCGGCCAGTTGAACCAAGCGGTTAACTAAAAACATTGTTAGACGAGTGTGGAGGATTCACCTTCCGTTCAAATCCACTTACTCCTACTTCTTTTCTTGAGACACCAGAACCGCCATACGGTACGAGGAAAGTACTCGGGCCATTGTAATGATCCGTCGTCTTCCACCACGGGGACAGGCGTGATCGGAGCGTGAGTGGTATGGGCCAGCGAGTTGAATCGGACCCGCTCTGAATGCTTCATGCGGGACTCGATGAGAGAAAACCGATTGAAGACGGACGTCAGATGGCGTGACGTCTCATGTTGGAGAGTAATCAAATCGGTACGCAATTGGCTGATCGTAGCGTGCAGCTTGCTGACTTCGACGCGGCATCCACAGACATCGGTCTGCAAATGTTCGACATCCGACTGGATCTGATCCACGTTCTTGGACAAACGGTCGACATCGCTGCGGAGGAAGACGGTCTCGTTACCGGTCTGGCCGATGCTGGATTTGAGCTGCGAGATGCCCGACTTCAACTGGTCGACGTCGGTTTTCAGGGCGACAACGTTGAGATCGATCCGATTCGAGACGGAGCGGTTGGCTTCGAACTCGCGTCGGATATGTTCGTCTTCACGGTTACGCCTGTCCACGTAGCCATCCTTGGTCAAAACACTGGATCGAAGTTCCAATAGGCGAGAATCGAGATAGGTTAAGCGATCGTGGATATGAGACAGGGTGGGGTCGGAGAGTATTGGAGGTGTAGATTCATGTACAAGAGATAACCTCGGGCTCGAGACAGGTATCGACATGCTCGAGGTGCGAGAAAGGCTGCGTTCAAGGGTGGTGGTCATGGCGAGATCAAGGGACGGTCGGGGGCCGACCGTGACAACTGGTTAATGGTAGGCGATGATGTATGGGTTTCGAGGTGCTCTGGGTCTCGTTCCGATCCAAAATTCACAAGAGGTCCATTTTGTTACCTTTGTGGGGTGTTGTGAAGATAAAATTTCACAGTAAATGATGACGAATATGGTGGTGGTGGTAGTGGTGGGTGGGTTTGGAGGGAGATGATGAAAGAAGAAAGGGAGAGAGAGGAAGGAGGAGACTAGGACTGTAGGACTGACTGAGTGTCTGTCTTACAACCCCCCCTTCGTTGGCTGACTCTGCTTCGTTTTTCGTGGCACCCGCCGGTTGATTCTCCCAACCCAGGCTAGCGCCTGACCCCTCGTTCCTTCAACCTCGTCACCAACGCACCAACTTACCACAATCCCTGGATAGGAATTGTTGATGCTAAATAGATCTATCCTGCGTCATTTGCAGTCATACAAAATTACGTCGTCGCATCTAGCAGATCAAAGTGGTGCGTCTCTGGCTGGGACTGAAGATGAAACCGTCCTAATGACCATACACGGTACGGAGGGTGACAATACCGAAAGAACGGGAGGCCAGGAGCTTGGCAGAGCCCTACACTCTCCAGCTGACTGCCTGCTGCCTATCACTGCCAATCACTGGGGAGAGATGATGTTTGCCACGCCGCCTTGGAGGGGGTCTCCGGTTGCAGATTGGTTGCTCAGCCCTGTGCGGCCTCTCGTATCTACCGCTGCTTAGTGCAACCACTGGCCCTACACGCTAGCCATACTGACTTCATACTGTATCATTTCCGTCCTATACTGAGACTGGCTGTTATACTTAGTCAGTAGTAGTTAACCAATCTGACCTATAAAAAGAAGTGGTCACATGACTTATACTTCGCGGAGGATAGATATATCCCTGTAAGAGCTACATAAATTTTACAATGATCGAACCTTCTACTAGATGGTGCTCGCGGTCGATCGTCCCAAATAAGTGACTTCCGTACAATCCTGCAATCGTGGACCAAATTAATAGGCAGCAAGCATGCCCGACCGTTTCCTATAGACGCTCTCATATTATGGACAACTATGGCTAGGTAAATGTATCCCGATCCTTGTCCATGACAATTCCCCAGGTTCCCTGGCACCCTGTCATAGATCTGCATCACCCAAGCGTCGTCGGCTCGAAGAGATCCTTCTTGAGCACTTCCAGGACCTTTTTCTCGTCGAAATTTCCCAGGTCGAAACCGGCAGAGGCCGGTTGATCGACTTCCGACTCCGTCGGGCTCGCGCTATCCTCTTCCACCGGCGCGTGGGTGCGGATATACTCGTCTTCAAGTAAATACTGGGCGTCTGATCCCTGCGCGCGTAGCGCATCGGGCGAGTCTGCTAGTACATAAATGGTAGGGAATTCGAGGACTGTGTGGTCGCGCAGGGCGGCGGTGAGAGTCATGCTGGGGGCGAGGGGGATCAGGACGGGCTGTTTGGTTGCTGTTCGCGGCCGGTGGAGGTAGAAGTATACGTTTCGATGAGGGATGATGGCGTGCGTTTCTTCTTGTTCGGAGGTGGTAGTTGGTGGGTGTGTTTCGTCAGTCGTGATTGGTGCGGCTGTAGATTCTGCAGTGCTGGATTCAGCGGTGGTGGTGGTATCTTGGGGTTGCTGAGCGACATTCTCTGTTGTTGAAGACGACAGTTCCTGTTGCTGTGGCTGGGCTTGATCTTCTCTCTGCTCTTGGTTCTGCGTCTGTGTCTGCTCTTGTTCCTTTTCCTTCTCGCGTTCTTCCCTACTGAGAGGAAACGCTCGATCGTAGGAGATTGCAATCGGAACCGAATCCCTGCAATTCCTCGTGCGCTTCTCCCCGGTCTCCCCTATCCACTCCACCGTCCACACCAAGCAATGCTGTCTGTAAACCATTGTAAAAAGTCAACTATCCATCCATTTACCGCAGCTCCCAGCCACGCAACCAATGTAGGAGAGAAAGCGAAGGGGACGGGACGTACTTAGCAAACCACCTAGACCCATTCTCCTTATTCCGACTCATCCCCCTCGGCGCCCGAATAACCTTCACACCCGCATTTCTCACTTCCCGTAAGAACCCCGATTCCCCTTTCGCAGGGCCAGAACCAGCACCAGCACCAACAGGGCCACCAGGGCCACCAACAAAACCACCCCTCTTCCTCTTCCCCCCAACGCTCCCACCACCACCACCACCAACCTCCCCTCCCTCCCCCTCCAGCCTCTCTCCCGTTCCCGTGCTAGTAAGAGAATCCAACCCCACGACCGCCAAATCCCGCACAAACCCGGCAGCATCCCCGTCGACCCGGATCCCACGGTTCTCGGCGTCGCGCCCGGCGCGCTCGATCGAGCGCTCGATGCCCGTGATGAAGTTGAAGTCGCGGTCGAAGGCCGTCTCCGTGGCCAGCTCGCTGCGCCGCAGGTAGGCCGCGGGGTCGCGCACCCCGCTGCACTGCGACCAGAGCTTGTGGCGGCGCGTGCAGGGCAGCGAGCAGGTGCGGGTGTTGCAGCGCGGGCAGCGGTATTTGGGGGGTTGGAGGTGGCTATCCATATAAAAGCGTGTTGTCAGGTCAGGGTTTTGATCGTTTGGGGACAGATATTGGGTTTGAGAGCGTTGATTGGGTTTAGGGCCCAGGGAATATTGGTCGGCTTACCAGATTGTGCAGAGGTCTGTTAGCAGGGAGTCTTCTTGTGAGGAGGACATTTTGGAGTTTGGGAGGTGGTGTTTATTGATGAGGTTTGGATACAGCGTGCTTTTCGGGTATATATGACGAATTATATAGTGGCTGGTGCAAGGAGAAGTAGATGGGTAAAGTAAGACTAAAGCTTGTGAGAGAATAAGAGTAGCTGGGGTAGAATGAATGCTAAGGTGTTGATCGATGCGCAGAGAGAAAAAAGTTGGATCCTTATCGCCCGGGCTTATCGCCGAGGGCTTGGACTGCCTGAGGCAGGAGCTTCATAGTTCATGGAGCCATCGAACATGGCTTATTGCTCGGTACGACTGCTACACTGCTGGGCTAGCCTCTTGCTGCACTTCTGACAGGTGACTATGATACTGGCAAAAGCTTCTCTGACCGATTGCCCGATCTCGACAACTACGCTCGCAATGATGCGATTAGTGATCCGACTCAGTGATTTCTAATCTCGGCGTTTGCAACTCCCCGATACAAATGACGACATGAGGAGAGTGCGGAGTATGCTTAGGGAGTAGAGTATATCTCCGACTCATATCCAGATTTTGATTTCATTTCTGTTCTCTCAACATATCTTCGACTCAGTCATTGACAACTCCAAAACCAAAACATGGCCGCTGCTAAACCCTTCGCCATCGTCGCCGGCGTCGGCCCTGGAACGGTACCTCGCGCACCCCCCCCCTTCCCCCCCGGGCCCCCTACTCCTATACAAATCATCGCGATGTACAGACTAACAACAACTTAACGTGCAGGGCGCCTCCATTGCCCGCCGCTTTGCCAAAGCCTACTCCGTCGTCGTGCTCGCCCGCAACCCGGCCAACTACGAGTCCGTCGTCGAGGAGATCAACTCCGCCGGCGGCCAAGCCACGGGCTTCAGCGCCGACCTCTCCGACACCCAGAACGTCAAATCCACCTTCGAGCAGATTACCAAGCAGTTCACCGGCTCCCCGCTCGCCGCGGCTGTGTTTAATGTCGGCGGCGGATTCGTGCGCAAGCCGTTCCTCGAACTGACGGCCGAAGAGTTCTCGTCCGGGTTTGAATCGCAGGGGTAAGTGAACCAACCATCTTCCCTCCCAGTCTCCAGTCTCCAAGCTTCGAAATAACCTTTTTTTAAATTTCATGTATGGCTAACATCCACAACAGCAAAGGAGCCTTCAACTTCGCCAAGGAGACCCTCCCCCTGCTCCTCCAAGCCACGAACCTTCAACACCCGCCGACCCTCATCTTCACGGGAGCGACAGCCAGTGTGAAGGGCTCGGCGAACTTTTCCACCTTCGCGGCGGGCAAGTTCGCCCTGCGTGCGCTGGCGCAGTCGCTGGCCCGCGAGTTCGGGCCCAAGGGCGTGCACGTCTCGCATGTGATTGTCGATGGGGTGATTGACATCCCGCGCACGAAGGCATGGACGTTCGAGCATGAGGACGCGAAGTTGGATCCCGAGGCTGTAAGTGGTGATTTCTGTTATAGCTTGACGAATCTGGGCAGCTGATGGCTAACGTTTGACTGTTGGGACAGATCGCCGAGTCATATTGGCACTTACATACTCAGCCACGCACGACTTTTGGGTTTGAGCTGGATCTCCGACCCTATGTTGAGAAGTGGTAGGACTGAGGCTTTGCTTGCAAGCTAGGACGGAAAGTCGCTCGTTTGTCTGGGGAGGTTGACCGGATCAATCAGTGTAGTCTGCATGGGTTGGCCGAGGTGCCTAGTTTCAGTACTTCATTAATGGTACCTAGTATAGTAGGGGACAATGTTTGAAGTCAGCATGTTAATCAATCGAACCAATGTCAAATAAAGCATGTTGTACATACTAGCTCTGAGTCCTTCGAGCAAGCTGCGTAGGCTCTCCATGCCAGGATGTACATCCATGGAGAGACGCTCCGCGCCTGCCTTCGGAGATCTTGTCCGGATGTATACAACATGTCCATCACAATCTCACAATCTCAATCCCCAAGGCCACATAACAACCTCGTCGCCAGGCACCCTGCAGTCAGCAGCTCTATACTTACCCAACACCGTCACTCCTTCATCATCCTTTCTATTCCTTCACATCCACCGCAACCATGCGACTCTCCTTGACCTCCATCCACGCCAGTCTGTCCCTGATAACGACACTAAGCAACGCTCGCTGGACGACAGCATCGCCACCTAAAAACAACACCCCGATCGACCCCCAGCAATGCGACTGCTACCTCATCTCCGGCCCGGACCCGGGCTACTTCACGCATTACAAGCTGTGGGACTTTCGCAACGCCTCGCCGTTCCAACCACACTCCTCCCCCCCGAAGCCGTTCAACAACACCGACAACCTCTACGAAACGCACAACCTCCTCACACAAACCCCCTTCAGCAAAGATTGGCACGTGCAAACCTGGCACCGCGCCGCCGACCCGCTCCTCTCGCCGATCTCCATGACGAACTCCGAATCCAACGTCTTCCTCATGCACGCCCGACCCCCGCCGCAAGACATCCCTGCCTCCCACAACAAATCCACCAGCAAAAGCTTCCTCGTCCTCCGCACCACACGCTTCAGCAACCACGCCTCGACCGCGGAGATCGAATCGCAATTCGGCCTAATCGACCACTGCTCGCTCCGACTGCACATGCGCCTAATGTCGCGGGCCACCGCACACCACCACCCATTCTCCGCCCCAGAAACCCCAACCCCCAACCCCAACCCCAGACCGAAAAACCAACCGAACTTCGCCTACCCGCCACCCGCCACCCCTCTCCCCTCAATCCCGCCGGGCAACATCGTCCCCAGCGGCACCTGCGCGGGGATCTTCACGTACCGGTCAGCGGTGTGCGAGTCGGACATCGAGATCCTGACGGCGGACAGCCCGTACACGATTCACTACGCCAACCAACCGGACTACGACGCGGAGCACGACCAGATCATCCCGGGGGCCAGCGCGGTGGTCAACCTGACGCGGCCGTGGACGGAGTGGACGACGCACCGGCTGGACTGGCTGCGGACGGAGTCGCGGTGGTACGCGGATGGCCAGCTCCAAACCGCCAAGCGGTACCGCGTGCCGGACCGGCTCAGCATCATCGTCGTCAACCTGTGGAGTAACGGCGGCGAGTGGACGGGAGACCTGCGTGTCGGCGAGTCGGTCTACCTCGGCATCGAGTGGATGGAGCTGGTCTATAATCTCTCGTCTTCTGCTGCGGTGGCTGCGGCTGCTGCTGTCGATGTCTCTGCTTCTGCTTCCTCGGAGTCAGTGGCGTCTTGGTCGTCTTGGGGACTGGGGAAGGGAAGTGACGGGGGTGGCAGGAAGGGGGATGAGATTCCCGGCTGGCGGAGTAAAAAGCATCATCATCATCATTATCGACCAAATCTGAATCTCGCGGCCATGGGCCAGGTTCAGTCGCGTGTGGAGGAACCACGTTATCATCAAGGGGATGGTCGTGAGACGAGAACCCCATCGTCAGTGGGTCCCTCGACTCACTGTCGGAGACCTTGTTGGGTAGATCAATGAAAGCATAGCTGGGCACTCTGTTATAGCTGTATAGCCTTATTTGTACCGAGACATGAAGAACATGCTTTACTGTATACCTTGCTCTGAAAGAGAAACTGTAGACTGAGATAGTGTCATTGTAGAGGTGGTCGCCCGAGGTAATAAGAGCGACGCAACTTCGAAGATACACATTCCTCGAGACGGGGAACCGAGCCCTTCTATTTACATCAAGCATCTCCATCTCTTTCCATGCTCTCCATACTCAAAAACAAACGCATGTCAGGAGCTCAGGCTTCAACTGACGGGGTATCCGTACAAAACACAAACAGTCAACAAACGCTAACAACTCGCTTCACAAACATGACTCCAGCCCAATGCAACCAAGACCTCATAACATGAGGAACACTAATCATACATGCTTGCTCATTCCTACCCACACTTTTCATCTGATTTTCTTTTCTTTTTCTTTGTTTTTGTTGTGTCTTTTTTTTGTGTGTGTGTGTTTGTTTCCCTCCTCCCCCTCTTCCCCTCCCCCAAGGTGCCGCCATCCCCGCCCCAAGTGGCCGGTCGAAGTGCTGACCGCGACCACTCACAGCATGACCCCCCGGCCCTGGACGGGATTGAAGTCCCCGTCCAGGCCTCCATTCATCAACTCCCCCACTATCTTCTGTCGCAGTAGTGGGGAGTCTGGAGCCCCATAGGATTGGGGCTCCAGGTTGATGGCGACGGCTTTCGCCGTCGACAGGAGGAAGACACCACAGTCGGACCCGTTGTCTTGCCGGGGAGACAGGGACGGCAGCACCTTCCACTCCGCCTCCACAAATCCCTCCCCCAGTTCCCCCCCCAGCCATGTTTTAATGAGATTAACATGGCGCTTGTTGAGCCCTCCAAGGGAATCGAAATGTTCGATGGTGCGATCGCACGGCTTGACCACGATGAGTGTCCAGTGAGATTTGTCATGGATGGGCACAAACACCGTGTCGACGTTGAGGAGGGCCTCGCCTCCAATCTTGGCCCGTGTCGCCCACCTGCGGACAGACTCGTATCCCTTGTCTCGCAAATTGGAAAAGAAAAAAGAATTGAATGCGTGGTATCGCGGCTTGTCATGTCGCCCAGAGTTGTTGTTGGTTCTTCGCAAGTAGTCGATAATTAATGCCATGTACGCGTTGATCACTTCGTCGTTCAGCCACTCCAACGGCGTATAGCAGGTTGCCAGATCTCGTGTCGTCAATGTCTCTCCCGAAAGTGTAGTGGCGACCTTCCTTGACGGCGGCCCAGCCATGGTGTCTTCAAGACGTTTAATCCACTTAGCGCTTAGGGGTCGCACTGCGGGCCGCTCGAGGAGGATTCTTGCGGGTGGGCGTTGCTGGCTCTGCCCGCTTCTTTTTCCCTCTTTTTCCTCGTTTTTTGCCACGGTCGCTCTCCAGCTTTTGGCAAGAAGAGACTCAGTCCTGCCAACCGGGATAGGGGAAGGGGTAGGATAGAACATGCTTACCGCAGAAAGCGCACGACCCATGGGGTGTTGCTCTGCCTCCTGTGTAGAGGGATCCTGCGAGAGCGTGTTGCTTTCCTGTGCAATATCAGATGTACCTTCATGGCTGATCACATCATCCGCAGTCGTCTGATTGGTATTCATATGTTCGATATTCGTGTCTTCAGTTCTCATGTACTCATTATTCAACATATCGCGGGACGTAACTTCAGTGCTCATCAAATCGTGGGACGTAGTATCAGGAGCCATAGGAGCGATGTTCTCCTTCTGCTCTTCGTCGGTAATAGCTTTAACATCGGTGTCTTCGCTGGAAAGGATATTTCTCGCGTGTACATCAAGAAGATGACGGAGATGTCCAATTGGTGCCCTTGGCGGTGGCGGTGACGGTGTCCATGGGGCTGGCGGCGCGTTTCGAGGTGTTATAATACGCTCGCCAGTCACAGGCGAATGTGGGAAGTGGACCCTGCGGGAGGGCTTCGACTTTGGCGTATGCTTTTCATGACTGGCATCGGAAAAGCTGATGGTAGTCGCATTGACCACAGAAGACTTCGAAGATGAGGCCACAGCGTTACTGCTGGTCTTCAAAATACTCTTTGTTTTCACCTCTTTAGACTGCGTGGTCTGGGGTCTTTCGCTAGCAGTCTCCTTCACCTCGATCGAAGGAATAGGAACGAGTGGAAGACGATGTGCTGTTCTCATGTAGTTGATGTGCTTGAGTCGCGTGGGATCTCCTGCAAGATAGGCTTTCTTTGCCTCTGCGACTGCGTGACTGTTTAAGAGAGGAGCTGGAAACATTTTACGCACAAATGAGCCGCGGAGGCGAATGTGAGAAGAGGCCACCGGAGCCCGGGTCTCGGGTCTCTTTGAAGGGTAGATCGGGTCTTCGGATTCGGGTGCGGCACGTTTCAGTGACTTGGGCTTGATGGCCGAATCGGGGCCGAATGCTTTCGAGGACTTGGAAGGACTAGACTCGGCATCGGAACCAAAATCAATCTTGACAACTTCGAAAATACCATCCGCTGGCGATGGCTTTTCAACTGGATGGGGCGGCTCGAGAGTGGCACCCATCACATCATCTTGAACAACAACAACAGAAGCCGCGTCAAGCGACGGCATTTCAACTGGATGGGGCGGCTCGAGAGTGGCATCCATCACATCATCATCAACAACAACAACAGAAGCCGCGTCAAGCAACGGCATATCAGAAACGGCAGGCGCTCCTCTTCGGTGATCTTCAGCACCATGCTCAGCATTGGTGTCTCTGTGAAGTACTTGCTGAATGCGACGTTTGAATGTTCCAACGACATTCACAGCTCGTCGGGCGGTTATAGTAGCGCGCTCGCTCATAACATTGCCAACGACACGCACAGCTCTAGCGGTATTGGTAGCACGCCGGGCCATATTGTTACCAACGGCACGCGTCAAGCGCACCGTCAAACCAGCCCAGCTTGGAGCAGGGTCAGGGGCTTGCTCCGGGACATAATTATCAGTGACATTGGCGAACCGTGTCGCTGCTGGGGTGAACTCCGGCCAACTGCCGGGTGGACAGACTAGGGGAGTAGTAGGAATACGCGGAGCAAAGTCACGCGGAGGATGCTCGGTACGTGCCGTATCTGAGACCAAAGTATGTATGTCCGTTGCCTCTTTCTGCTTCAGAGGTGGGCATGACTTGGCAATTGTTAGATCGTACGGAGTATTCTGAGATTGTTGCGGGCGATTAGGACACTCGTCATCTTCGTCAAAGATCTCTAGTGTTCTCTTGCGAGACGCGGTACTGGAGGAATCCTGCCTTTTGCCGGCCAAAATGCCAGCCCCAAACTTCTTAAACTTTTCGTCTTTCGTACCAGACAAAGGCTGAAGCTTGATTCTCGGCGGACTGTGATGAGATGTACCATCCGAATTGCTATGTTCAGTTGGTTTGATTGAACGTGAAGCAAATGCATTCTCCGAAGGTCTCGTTGTTCGTGGGAAAAAGTTCCAGTTGTTCTCGCTCCGACTTTCAACATTACCCGACTTGTCAAATCGAAGAGGGCGTGAGCAAGAGCGTGGACGATCAGTATCAGAGAGACTAGCATTGCTAGACAGATCAAAGCGGGTGGAGGATTGTCCATGGCCGCCAAAGGCATTCGGACGCGAGAGAAGCGGATGTATAACACGATCAGTGTTCAAGAGACTAGTATTTTTAACCATGTCAAAGTGCGAAGATGATTGTCCATTGCTGCCGTATGCGCTAGGACGCGAAGGTGCATTCATGCCACGATGGGTATCAAAAGGTCTAGCATTGCTAGCCATATCAAAGTGAGAAGATGGCTGTCCATTGCTACCGTATGTGCTAGGACGCGAAGAGGGTGGATTCATGACACGATCGATATGAGCAGAAGGGCCGAACCCATTGGACGCATCGCGGGGAGGACTTCTGCTGGGAGGACTGAGCCGAACCTTCTCGCGCTGATAGAGACGGTAAGATTAGTCCTGAAATTATCCTTGGAGCGAGTCAGCTTACCTCTTGCTGCCACAGCTCGGCGAAAGCATCGACGGATTCCGACATGATCAATGTCAGTGTTGAGGAGTATGGTGTGGTGTAAGCGGAGTGATATGATTGTGAGTGATGTAAGTTTGGTGATCGGAGCAGTGATGTAAGTTCGGTGATAAAAGCAGCGATGTGAGTTTGGTGATAAAAGCAGTGATAGTAGATGTAGTGATGTGAGATGATGTGTTGTGTTGTGTCAAGAGGAAGTGAGGAGAAACGAAGAGAGGTGGGTGGGAGGGAGGGAGGAGGAAGAGAAACAGAAACAAAAAAAGGGAAGGCGCAATCACAACACAATCATCGTCATGGCAGGAGCACTGTTGCCGAGATATTCACTAGATTCTGAGGTCGCGGCGCGAGTGAATTGGTGTTACATTGGAAGACGTGGGGCCAGGTGAATGTGGTAGGCGCAAGTAGGGCAGGTAGAGTGAGGACTGAGGAGTGAATACCCGCGATATGAAGTTATTGGAGCGACAGTGCTAGCTAGCTAATAATTATGCTCAACCCCAGAGAGGCTTAGCGTCGGAGCTTGACCCTCCCTCCGGGGAAAAGAAATCACGTGAAACTGTACCGAACTCGACCCGTACATAGTATACTCGAATCCTGGTGGTCGAAACGGCCGCGGTCACATAATGACGGGCTACAAGCGGTGATAACTACAACCATACAAGAATTCCATTCATGAGGAGAAAAAGAAGAGGAAGGCCCTGCGGGCCTTCGCTCTGGGCTATGTACATATATAGGGCCACGGGTGCCTGAGACGCCCATGGCTGGTCACATGACAGGCCGTCAAGGAGCCTGTCACATAAACTACATTGCTCACCTAATTCCTCGAGTATCCTTACTGATATAAAGACATTGTAGTCTAGTTATACTCATATATATTCAATTCCAAAGGCCCAATCACATGAATTTAGCGTGCTTCGCATGCCTTGGCCGAGGGCGCATCGCGAATCACCCGATGGCCAGGACCTCGTACGGAACAATATCTTGAAATCTTGTGGACGAACTAGCTAAGATACTTTATCAATATGTGAAGCTAGCAGAGCTCAAATAAAGGAAAAGAGAAACATAAACTTGTATATACAGTAACAAAAATGTCAGCTATGTTACATCGCGGAAGGGTATAATCCGACGTGCTGGACTGAACCAGGAGACACTGTCCAAACGGGACTACACCCGTGATCATCATGCTAATAGGCCGCGAGGCCAATTTGCGAGAACAAGAGAGGAGCTCCCTCCATAACTATCCAAGCAATTCCTTTTGATCCAGAAAATGTCAGCACTTAGCCAAAGCGACGTCGCGGATGCAATAATTCAAGGGAACCTGGCAGGACTTACCAGAATACACCACCAGCTTTGTGACTACCTCTACATCATAGCGTACGCGCGGGGGTTTGATTTGTGCGAAGAGTTCTTCTTGATCGGCCTCGATTCCAGCATCAAAATCGGGAAAGGGGACCGTGGATGAGTCCGCTTTGCTAGAATTGTCAAGAGACGTCGCAAGACCTGGAGCTCCCGTGCCCATCATGTGCTCATAATCATTGAGCTTGGATGGTCGTCTGGAGAGCTTCGGCGGCTGAGCCTCTCTGGCAGAGGAACCAGCCTGACCAACCTCCGTGGCAGGGGCAGTCCTATGGCCATTAGAGAGACTCTCCCGTCTGCGCTTCTCACGATATGCCAATGTTTCATAAGCATCGGCCTCTGATTGAGGACCAACGGATATTGCCCGTCGTCTCGGATGGCGTATCGTGGTGAGGAACGATGGGATCTCGGATAAATTTGGGAGAACTTCATGATCCTTTAGATGCGCTGGAACACGGGAGTATTGTCTATCAAGTTCACCGGTTAGCTCTTTGTGTGGAATGGTAGTCCGTTTGCAATGTAGTTCGGCTTTTCCGATCCAAAGGAGAAATCAACTTACGAAGCATTGGTGAAGAACCTTCGAGGAAGGATCAGTCCTAGCTTTTCAAGACCCCGGAAAATAGGTGGGAGAATCCGAAGCATGAAGGGTTTTGTCACTGCCCGCCAAACGAAGAGTAATAGGATTCCCAGGACCAGCCGAAGAGCAGTCTTGGTCGTCTCCACCAATTCAAATCTGGGCGCAGGGCCTGCTGCCAATTCATACCACCCCATTTTCGAGCGTGCCAAGTGCCAGTAAGCGATTTGAGCACCGAGTGTCACTCCCGCAAAAGCCACGCTATCATCGAAGCATGGACAGTCATCCGCAGGCTCTGGGTGCACGCGAACCAGGGCTAAGATCAGCAGAATGACTAGTGTGATGCCTTTCCCTGTAGCAGCAAGGATATAATCGTCGATGGTTGGCCCATATGTGTACTGCAAATAGGCAAGGAACCCGCCTAACAGGCAGCCCGTGATAACGTCGCAGAATCCGTGCATCCCACAGTACAGGCGACCCAGAACAATGGAGCTGACATAGACGTATGTTAAAGCCTGAAGTGCCAAGTTCATGCTAGGACTAAGAGTACAGTCCGGAGAATTGAGGAGGGAGAGAACATAGACTGCGACCGAAACAGCATTCGTAGAGTGGGTGGAAGGAAATCCATACTCCAGCGCTGCAGAACCGGACATCGTTATGCGCTGGAGGGGTGGAGATAAAGGCCGAGGTAGGCACAGGAGGTCCTTGATGAAGCCACTAAAGAAGACGCCGGAGGCCAATAGATGCACCATCCTAGACGAGAGCCAGACATGTTAGCGATTTGCATCCACCACACGCAGAGCCCCCCGGCGCCGAAATAGTTGGTTGTATCCAATCGAGAGCACGTACCCACGTCCCAAGCTTGCATAACCGCACCAGAATAGAATTGGGAGGAAAACCATGAAAAAGGTGTGTGTTCCTAGGTTGGCCGTGAACGCGAAGTATGAATCCAGGGTCGGAGTTCGAATTTTCTCCTGGCACCAGGCGAGATATGGTGTTTCGAATCGAATCAATGGAAGCAATTTCTGTCGTGGCCAGTAACGCCAAAGAGGAAGCTGGTTGTGATCTATTCCAAAGGACAGGTCAAGCCACTGTTAGTGTTGGACAAGGAGACTGACTTCCGATAGGACAAGTACAAACATACAATGATTGAGACTTCTCAGGCCAGCGTCGGGCTGGCCATTTTTGCTGTGAGCCATTTGCGATGACTATTGCCCAAGCAGGCAAGCGTGTAGAGCTATCAAAATGATGAATTGATCGCGATTCCCTCCATGTGGTTTTTTGTTCCGTTTCCTGGCGGACAGATTCCCTTAGGTTCACCGACCGCCTTGGGTGGACATCAATGCTTCCGAGAGATTCGAATAAGACAAAATATGGAGATAGCGCCTGAGTAGTCGGGGCGAGAAGAGAGGGGAGGCCGGTAAGACACAATGTCAACGTCGATGAAGGAGAGAAATCAGAGCTAGCCTGGAGGTATTACTACTTAGGTAGTCTAGATTACGGACAGTCAGTCACTTATCAGAATTGTGTTGGCGGGTTTTGGCGGTCAATGCGCCCGCCGCCAGTTCGAACAGGAAGAGCCCCAAAGGGCCTTCGACCGCGGTTGAGGGAACCTGGAAAGGGACGTGCTTCAGGGTCACGTGTCAGACTGTTTTACTTGCATAATCAACCTTTCAAGTCCCCATAAATACTTGATGGTCAATTGGATACTGTTACTCCGTACAAGTATAGACATTTACTCATCATGTTTGAAACCCCATATCAAAGTCGGGTCGTGCCTAGAGCCCGTGGAGGGCCAAGATATCCATGATATAAATATATATCATGCGTGAGAAGACTTCTTGAGAAACTCCGTTCCCATCACAGAAAGTATGGCTTATCTGGGGAGCACGGGGCAAAATTCAAGGCTTCAAGTGAGAAAAAGTAGTCGGACAAAATTACGTCAGAAGATGATTCCACTCCTAGTCTTGGCTAGAAACTGTCACAACGGTTAGTCTACGGTTTGAGGCAATTACGCAAGGAACCGCAGTTGACAGACGCCATCCCATCTAATCAACCAACAGATCGGAGTCAGCCCTGGCACTAGGAACCATTACCCCGATTTAAGGATCGGAGGTGCTTTGAAGGACAAAGGAGGAGTTGGCAAGAACCAGAGTAGGTACTGTACAGTACAGTCCGGCCTGTCCTGTACCGGACCACATGGGGGAGGACACAGCTTGGATGGGATGGAGCCTTGGTTCTAGCCCAGTCAGAGTCCACCAATTCAAGGAATTGAATGAGATGTGACGAATCTGCTAAAAATAAACTTGAAGATGGAGCACGATGTCAAGAAAAAAAGCTCACAGGAGACAAGACATGAGCTGAAACTGCCCTGGACTTCCACAAAAGAAGGGAACTAATTGACAGCGGAGATGGTGCGTCATTTGTCCCGCGGCGTTGCCATGGCAGCTCACCGGCCGGTAAACATCGGTCTGGCGGTTTCATGTCAGCCGCAATGGGGCCTCGTCGCAGCACCAGCACCGGCACCAGCACCAGCAACAGGAGCTGCCCGCCCCATCAATGGCTCTTCGGCCATCGGTCCCCGTATTAGAGGACTCGATCTCGAAGACTGACCTCCCTTCCTCCCCTTCTGAACTTCTTCGTGCTGGTTTCGCGTATTGTCTTTCACGTTCTCCTTCCCAACCCCCCCCC